ATGATTACCGATATTCGGCGGTATAGCCATCTCGTTTACTCTCAGACCTAAAATACCCAGATCGGCGACGGTGAACAGCGTCAAAAGTGCGAGACGCTTGGTACTGTAATCACCAACCCACCTACCAAGCGTGACGCATTAGGCAAATCCTCCCTGACGAAAACGGCAAAAATCCTATGGACTCTTATGAGCTGACGCAGAAGAAGATGTAGGGGAACGTTTTAAGGGTTCCGTACCCGAAGGATAACAAACGGGATACTATTACTAAGCGTCTGCTGTCCGTCCGTCCGACCGTCTGTCTGTCTGTCTGTCAGCGGGCTGTATCTCATGATCCGTAATAGGTGGACAATAAATTAAAAATTAAAGGGGGCTCCCCCAATAGAAACGTGTCTTTTTTTTTGCTTTTTTGCTCGATTTTAATGGTGGCAACAAGTAGACTTGAAATGCTCACAGAGTTTGTATATTCGTTAAAAACAATTATAAAAAGTACCTACATAGTATTACATCTTGAACGATGGTGTTGGTACGAAATCCTTCACGCACGAGTCCGACTCGCACTTGGGCGGTTTTTAATTTAACTTTAAGACATGAACACACAAGGTTATATGGAATTTAATATGTGTAATATGACAAACCTAAAATTTTCAGACCGATATCGGCTAGCAAATGTCTATTGCTGTAATTACACTATTGAAAAGACATATTATCATGTCTAGCAGAATATCCACGCAGTAAGAAGGATAATACTTTTTTGTACAATTTATACAGAATTTTTATTTATACGGAATTTTTAGTACCGTACAGGCCGCGACCGTTCAGGCTTTTACTTATTACCTAAGCCAACTAACAACTGGCTAACAGAACTAACATGACAGAAAATAAAGGTACCTATTTTATAAAACTCTGTTCTATTGGTCTTACAATGTTTTAGTATTTATGTAATGCAGTTTAATGTTAAGTATTATGTTATGCAGTTTAATAAAGTTATATCATTGGAAATAGATTTTGTATAAAGCACATAAACACACAAACTACTAATATTTGAGAACATTTCGCCTTTGTTATATCATATAAATCAAAACACAGTAGCTAAATTAGATAAATAAAACAATCACATAATATTTACTTTTCAATGGATATTATTTAATTTAGAATCGCGCAACGAAAAACAGTACTCCGATGTGTTTGTAAACGAATCGGAAAAGACGGCCGGGAGCCTTGAGGAGTGCAGTTAACATGTTCCATCTTAACCCATTTACACAAAGTAAATTAAACTTTCATCGCTTAGCGATAAAATCAAACTTCAAAAGTAATTTCTTTATCCATTCTTGCAGTTGTGTGATAAAGTATTATCTTCTATAAAAAGGAAACTTTAAGGTTCAAAATGAAATGATGTTTTAGCGTCAGTCCCTGGAAATTTCGGGACCGAACACCAAAATCTGTTTACTCGTAAATCACGCTCATTGTTTGAGTAAACTTCTATTTCGAAGCATTACTGCGAAGCGCTCCCCGTGCGAGGTTCTCGCTAAATATTGTTTCACTGTAAATGTGGGAAGTAGCAGTTAACTGCGCACTAAAGAGAATCTTTTTAATAATAACAATAACATGTTTAGCTTAGTGTTTAGGACGTGGGCAAATAACGTACGGGATAGAAGGCACGTTCGTTATTATGGGAAGTTAGATCATTGCTTTTTAGACTACGTTTTCAATGTCTCACTATCGTTTATTTTGTAGCATAAACGTAAAAACGTGAAATAAGAAGGTAAAAATATTATTTATAAACAAAGACATTTAAGTAGTAGTAGTAAATATATATTTTAAATCTCTTTGTTTATAAGGAAGTTACTAAGTCTGTTATAACGAAGTTAATAATAATTCTAAAATCTAACAGGACTAAAGACATTTTTTGGAGATAAAGATGATGATGATTGTCCTCGTGACCGATTTTCAACATCGGCAGCAGATTCTACTTATTCGGAAGCCATCAAGTGATGGTCTCAAGATATTATGCCACAAGCAGGATAGTAGCTACATATGCCTTAAGATCATAGGTGGTCTAGGATAGATTGATTTTGCATTTATTTTGTATAATGGTTGCAGCACGAATAGGTTGGTTCAGGAAAGAACCACGCTTACAAAGAATATCAGCGTAAAAAAGCAGCATAATGCTGTTTCGTATGGTGAGTGACGAAAACTGGAGCACCAGCTTACTATCAACTGGACTATATGCTCATCATACCGTACCTCGTTGTATCGTCGTATACTGTTATAAATAAATATATTATTAATTCAAAGTTCCCGAGGCAACCCAAAATAACTACACAAATATTCCGGGTGACGTTCAAACCTAGAACCCACGGCACTAGACCAGACCATGTTCAATAAATCTAAACATTCTCTGTTCAAGACCAAGCCATGGAAGTCAGGTATAAAATTGCCAAGTACCCAGCCTACTAAGACGTACAACATATTATAGAGACAGATTATAAAGCCTATGGAATTGTTTCATAGTTTCTTGAGAGTCGAGAAATACTTTTAGGCATATTCAAGGACCATTTTCGTTACCTTGCTCATGCTCCAACAATGCCGCTTCTTTGTCCAATCAAAATTTTAAAAAAAATAACTTTCGTTCTGACTATTAACATCATTCTAAGCTCTGGACTCGGGCACCCCAATACAGCCCCTTTTACTTTCCCTACATTCAACGAAGAGCGGCTTGTAACGTTTTTTTTTATAGAAGAGGGAGCAAACAGGCATGGTGCTCTCATGATGGTGACACGAGGGGAATTACAAATGCGTTGACGGCATTTTAAAAAAGAGTAAGTTCTTTTTTGAAAGTCCCTAAGTCGTATCGATCTGGAAAAATCGCTGGTGTTAATTGATTCCACAAAAAAGTTGTGCGATGAAGAAAACTTATAGTAAATCGCACAATGGTGGACCGTCAATCATCCAGATGGTATGAATGGTGCGAAGGTAAAATTTAGCGACTGTAATTAGTCCAAAAAAATTCTCTGAGCACTCCTAGTGGTGGAGATGTGATAGAATATGCAGCATCTCATAGAACATCTCATCGCGAGCCCCGTGAGTCAAGCCTATCAAAAAGAACTCGGTCGTCGACGATTCGAGCCGCTATGCGCTGGATACGATCAAGTGGAAGTAGCTAGCACTAGGGTACCCCGGCCCAGAGTTGTGAACAGTATTTAATGTGAGGTCGAACTTGTGCCTAGAATGATTCGACGATCAAGTATTTTTTGATCGATTTTATGTAATATTGTTACATAAAATTTACATAAGGTACTCCAGACCGAATTTAGATCTCAACGGAAACTATCCATCTGCACAGGACAGGATTATAGAGCCAGAGTGTATACGGAAGTGCGCAGGTGCACTCTCTATGTCTTCACTCTCATAATCCGACGGGATGGTCATCCGACATAACCGGAGGAGATCAGACGCAGAACCAACGGCTTTACGTGCTTTCCTATATTATACACAATTCACACATATTACTCCAGAATGCAAAGGTATCGTTCGTCATTTCTTCATCAAAAAGCTCGTAATAAAATGACGAATAGTAGGTAATAAAGACGGTTGATGTTAATGACTTTTTGAACTTGTGTAGGACTTGTATCTTATCTTATACGTAACCACCAGCGACACATCACCTCTCACTGGGTTCCACATTAACTCTAAAGTTTGTCATAATTTTAACAAAATCTGCCACCGGTACCTAACAATTTGTAATAAATACATAGTCTTATAATATCAATACCGTAAATTATAGCCTATGTCATGTCACCACATAAATAAATAATTACCCCATCTCATCCCATGAGCGCCATATGAGGGTAAAGGCTGCAGGCAGCCGTAATTCTCTTCCAAAGTTTGCAATAGCTGGTGTCACTGATGTACTTTCGTGAACAGCGCTTCGATATGACAACAAAAAGGGTTGTATGTGCTTGTCCTAGTCTCGTTCCCGATTTTCCACAACTTTTGCTAGGTACCTCTCTAATGTCTGATTAAATCGTTCTACCATTCCATCAGATTGTGGGCGGTAAGAAGTTGTTCTTGTTTTATGAGTACCCATAACTCGACAAGTTTCCTGGAATATTTAAGAAAATTCCTTCCTTGATCGCTGTGGATCTCTAAAGGTACTCCAAAACGACAGAAGACTTCATGAACTAGTTCATCTGCAACTGTTGAAGCTTCTTGATTTGGAATGGCGAAGACTTTTGGTCACTTAGTGAAGTAATCCATTACAACCATAAAATACTTGTTACCACTTTCACTTTCCGGAAATGGCCCCGCAACGTCAAGGACTATCCTCTCCCATGGTGCACAAACATTGTACAATTTCAATGCACCTCTACTACGAGTCTGAGGTCCCTATACAGCCGCACAATTTGTACATTTGCGACACCACTCCTCGACATCATCACGACAGTGGACCTAGTAAAACCGTTATCGGATCTGCAGTAGAATTCGTTTAACTCCCAGATGGCCTCCTGAACCACCATTATGGTGCAGCTGTAGAATATCCGGTACTTTAGCTTTAGGGACAACCATTTGCAAATGACAGCTGCCTCTCCGACCATTTTCCCATTTACGGCACAGCACTCCATCCTGAATCAGCAAGCTGTCCCATTGGGCCCAATAGCTTTTCGTGGTCGTACTCATCGCTGAGACGTCGCTCCACTTGTGCTTAGGAGCACTGGCCTTAATCCATTCCAGAATCGGCTTGATGTCCAAATCCTTCTGCTGTGCATGTTGTAAGCTGTCATTCCACTCATTGCTAAGCTAGTCTGTCCTGAAGATGTCACAGATACCACTTACTTATCCTCTTGCCTAGAACAATGCTTGCAATCTTCAGAACAAGGTCTTCTTGACAATGGATCTGCGTTACCATGAGATTTCCCGCTGCGATGTGCGGTCACAAAGTCGTATTCAGCAGTTCAATCCATCTCGCAACTTGTCCTTCTATATTTTTGAACTGCTTATAGTCATTTCAGTACAGCATGGTCAATTCGTAAGTGATATTTCCGCCCCATAAGATATTTGCTAAAACGCTGCAACGACTTTACCACAGCCAGCAAATCCCGTCTTGTGACACAATAGTTCCTTTCCGGCTTTGACAACGACTTGCTGAAGTACGTTATCACAACTTCTTGATTACCATTCCCTTGAGACAACACACCACCAAGTCCTATATCACTTGCGTCTGTATCAACTATAAATTCCCTGCCCGCATCAGGGTACCCCAAAATAGGTGTTTTGCACAGACTGTCCTTGAGCTCCTGGAATGCGAAATCGCAACTTTCATTCCAGCAGAAATTTCGATTCTCCTCGGTTAGCTTGTGCAGAGGTTTGGTTATACCTGCAAAGTTCTTCATCGATTGACTAGGTGTCCCCTACTAGTATAAAAACAAATTACCCAAACAAAATTCCAGCATTACCATTATAAATATTCATTGAAATTGCTTCAAACTCTCTCGCAAAATAAAGTTGCGGACTAGACTCTCGTTTCTGAGAGGGTTTTCGTGCAAGCAAATGTCCACCGCGCTGCCCCAATGTATTTTGACGGGCTTCACGTCTTCAAAATATTTACTTTTTAATTGTTTAGACATGTAGTTTTCTTTGAGAGGTTTTCCTTCACCGTCGAACACGTGGTAAATGTACTTAAAATTACAATCAACAATTTCATTGGTGCCGGCGGAGATCAAATCGTGATTAATTGCAAATATCCATCCATTCATCCATTACAGCCTTTAAAAGTTCAAAGCTGAAAATAGTTGCCACGCTTGGGAAGCGGGTTGGCAACCGCAGTTTTTTGTTATTTGGAGTTGTTATCAAGAAGATGCTGCTGCCCATCTCTTTCAATTTCCATCTGTCGTCTCTTATCACCACGTGACACAGCGCGACGCTGCGAGCCGCAGCCTGAAAGCGGTCATGGCGACTTGTCTTGTCTCTACTATTTTCACGCGGCGTCTCACTGCGCCGCGCGGTGTCTCGTTGCACAGCAAGATGTCGCGCCGCCAGCTACTTCACAATACGACTCACGACGTGACGTCACAATGCGTCTCGCGACGTCGCGACGCGTCTCTTGGTAGCGCGCTGCGCGGTGTGATACCACTGGCCAGGCCAGACTGGCCTCTTCAAGCACCGTCGCTTCGCGTCGCGTCTCTGTGTGAACTGACCCTAAGGTCAGTCGCGTGTGTTGTCTTCTTTTTTTCAAAATGGTTGCAATGTACACGGGCTACATTAGCCGGCTACAATCACAACGGCTGAATTCAGATAATTTGTCCATATTTTAACCACACCTCCGTGACGCAGTGACTTAGCAATAAGTTCCGACGCTGAGAGCCGCTCATGCAAATCCCGCACGGAACAAGTATATGTATGGCCTACAAATAATTGCAATTTATGTATGTAAACGGCCTCCACGATACAGGAGAAAATTCTAGTGTGGGGTAAGGTTTTTTGGAACGAAGTTCTTTATCGTACGAAACGATTTTGGCGAATAGGGGCTAGGCGAGAAAATGTGTAAGATTTTTCCATCACGACCCCTATTGACGTAGTGTAGACGGTTTGGTGGCTATAAAGAAGCGAGATGGAATAATATCCATCTCCCTAGCACTTTTTCTTATCTTACCATGAAAGAAATATTATTTTATTTTAAATGACGCTTCATTTTAATAGACGCTAGTAATTCATTTATTTGTATTTGTTAATCAATAATATAATACGTTTATGAATAATAATATATTACGAAAAGAACTTTGTTCCAACCGAGTGTTTCACGACACTCACGTATGTTTTTTTTTTAATTAACGATTAAAAACGTGAAGATTTTAATAACATAATCTGCTACTGTTTTATTGTTAAAGTGGTAGGGTAAAATACAAGGATAATTGAAAATGCCTTAGAATGACCTATATATTACTCATTTAATACCTAACACACTAAAAAGTTTCTTGAATCAAAAACTCTTGCACTGATTTATTGTACTTAGTTGGTAAAATTTCCGTTAATTCATTTCTTGTTAGCCAATTGCACTTTGTCCTGTCTTTACTTTCTACAACACCACTTTTGTAATTGGCGTAATAGAAGAATACCTGAAATTATGAAAAACGTAAATTATTTATAGGTAAAAATATACCAAGGAATTTTGAAAAATTACAACAAATTTTGGACTCTTTGGCAGGAATTGTCGATGTAGTGCAGTACTTGTGCATAATTCATATTCTTTGTACACGAGTGAATTTAGATATAAATAATGTGTATCATGAGTTTTTTAGAGGTAGCAAATTGCCGTGTGACATTATATGCACCGCTTTACTAAAATCAAGCTTATAAGTCTATTCGCGGTCACTAAATCTTTTCACAGACAATGCAGTTTTTTTTTAAATTGAAAAATTTGACATGTGCTGTTATGATTTCTTATATTTAAGCGAATACTATAGTAGGTGGGGGTAACATGGCCATCCGTTTAATATGGTCAATTTCTTATAACTGAAAAACTACAGGCTTGTTTGCATAAAAGATTCTGTGATAGGATAGCTCTTCATCAGTCAATCAAATAATAAAGGGTCAAAAGGGCGCTGCTTTATCGACGCCATTTTGACAGTTTACATTATAGTAAAAAAATTTGCCGATTTTTGTATTGAGTAGTGTACTGTGTATTTTAAGTTGATTATTGATTTAAGTTAGTTCTTTCTAAGTTGATTTTTCGAAGTGTTCCTAATTATTGCCAAAGCTTATTTGCTTTTTTTCCTTAGTATATTACTTATACGAGTAGTATATCAATTTTTGTTATTGTTTATGTCCTCCTCCTAGTTTTGGTTTTATAGGGCGGCAAATCTTAAGGTGACTATATTACTCTCGCCTACCTTACCACTTTAATAAATTAAATTTCTTATATTTACGCGGACACAAACACATTAAATGAAACAAATTTTACGGATTTTATCGCATTTAATTGCATGCCTCAAGCGCGAAGCGCGCAGGTATGTTCTGCTAGGGCCTAAAAGTTAAGATTCCAACGTTTTGTCACATGAAATCGTATCTAGCAATCATACGAGGGTGGATTGAAAAGTACTCGGCCTAACCAAGAAAATAAACACATACTAAATCAGTTATATTTTTATTTTTCTACATAATCACCATCAAGTTCAATACACTTTTGCCACCTCCTCTTCCAAGCATTTAGACCGTTGAAAAAAAATGATTCTTCCTTAGAGTCAAAATATGCGTTTACAGCTGCTTTGACCTCGTCGTTTGTCGAAAATCTTTGACCTCCCAAGTGCTTTTTTAGGTTAGGGAACAGAAAGAAGTCTGATGGTGCCAGATCAGGTGAATACGGCGGATGCGGTAACAGTTCAAAGCCACAGTTGTGAATTTCAGCCATTGACTGTACTGACGTGTGAACACGGGCGTTATCTTGATGAAACAGGACTTTTCTTCTGAGCATTCCTCGACGTTTTTCTTTTATTTCCTCTCGTAAACGACGTAGTAAGGTGCAGTAGTAATCAGAGTTTATATTCTGACCCCTTTCAAGATAATCAATCATAATCACACCTTTCGAGTCCCAGAATACTGAAGCCATCACCTTATTTGCCGACAAAATCGACTTAGCCTTTTTAGGGGGTGGTGAACCAGGTTTTCTACACTGTTTTGATTGTTGTTTTGTTTCCGGTGTACAGTAATGAACCCATGTTTCGTCCATAGTAACAAAACGATTAAAAAAATCATCTGCATCGGCTTCAAATAACTCCAAACAGTCGCGTGAAATAGTCAATCGCGTCCTTTTTTGTTCAACTGAAAGCAGTCGCGGAACCCACCTCGCAGACACCTTGTGGAAACCCAACTCGTTGACAATGATGTTTTGAGTTCGTTCATAAGAGATGCCTATAATCTCGGCTATCTCTCTAATTTTTAATCTGCGGTCTCCCATTATTAAATCAAGTACTTTTTTAATATTTTCGTCAGTAATTGACGTCGAAGGCCTTCCAGAGCGGGGTTCATCTTTCACACTCTCTCTACCACGCCTAAATTCTGCTATCCATTTTTTGACGGATGAATATGACAGAGCACAATCGCCTAATGTACTGACCATGTCATCATGGATGGCTTTTGATGATAGCCCCTTCTTATGGAGGTACTTAATGACGGCACGCTGCTCGATTTGCTCCATTCGCGGAAATTATGTCCGATTACTTTGTTAATAAATTTATAAAATCACAACTAATTATCGCACACGTTTCGAACTTCACACAATGAACTAGTCTGAACTGAACTAAATAATGTGGGTAGATTTGATTTTTAGAATTGAATGGATCTATGTTAGGCCGAGTACTTTTCAATCCACCCTCGTATTATACATATAAATGATATAAAAAGAACATTGTCAGAAAGATAAATGATTGTTGAACTTATTAATATTTTCTTATTTTTAATTCCCGACGTTTCGGGTGCTTTACACCCATGGTCACGGTCGACGAGGACTGAGGTGTTTGACGTCCCGATGTCATAGTTAGCCCGTCCCTTTTTGAATATTACTCAGCTACCGTCAATTTTTGAATATTAATTATTCACGCAGCATGGACTTACAATATCTTGAAGTCTTGCAGTGCTATGCTTGGGTTTGGATTTAATTTTATTTATTATAGGATTCCGAGCAGATGCTACACACATTCGACTTCTCTATTAAATTTAGGATGTTTTATAATTTCACTAGCTTCGCGAATCTAATGTATTGGCGGAGTCGATCTTGAACATGTCCACAGACTGCAGACTTCCCGGAACGTCGGTGCTTCACGTCAGATATATGTTCTTTTAAGCGGGTTTTTATAGATCTTTTTGTTTTCCTATGTACGAGAGCTACATTCACAGTCAAGCTTGTACACTTCTGCATCTTGTAGAGGGATATTATACACTTAACGGATGGTAAAAAATATGAATTCGATAATATCATCATGTGCTACCGAGGTTGTATGGGTTACCGAAAATACACAAATCAAACGCATCCTATAGTGGGCAGATCGATTCACCAAATTATAAGTTGACTCAACACTTGACAAAAATACTATCACCACTGAGAGGACAAACCAGATCGGAACAGAATTACATACGCACTTATACGTAAATAAGTGCTATAATTATAACAATTTTTAGTTATTCAAATTAGTAAATATAAAATTGAGAAATGTATGCTTGCGTATATGTGTGTGTGTGAGTGTGTGTGCTTAAATTGGTTCTTTGATATATTTGTGACGGCGCTATCGTCGCACCACAAGCGAAACACATCGAAACCTAAATCGCACTAACAAAGTTCCGAAGTTAAAGCAGTATATATAGAATAGCTCCGAACTACCACTCAGAGCGTTGGCCGCTCCCCGGGCAGATCACCCTGCCCGGCGGGAGATCTCCCCTTTTCCTTCCACCCGCCACATTGGTGACCCCGACGTGATATGAACACGCAACCAACAACCTTCAGAAAACTACAACTTCAAGCTTTCGACATCGTCCTCCCGAGCAGATATTGTCTGCAGTCTTCACATTCTGCAAAGCCATCTAGCTTTACAAAGGTTCATCCCAGCACTGGAATAATAATGCTTCCTGTTCCTTCAAGCTACTCTCTGCGCTACAGTGTTCGGCACGGCTCTGAGCCTTACTGCTCGCCTCTGCTTCACGGCACTCTCGCAGATTACTTGCCTTCTTCTCGACTCATCGCAGACTAGAAGGCAATCCTCTGGCACTTGCTTCAGCTCATCGTTCTCACCGGCATCACTTGCAAGCGTGTAGTACTGCATGCATTACACACCGGCATATCGTTCGCACCAGCGTCACTTGCCCTTACGCACACAGCATGCATTCCCCACCGGCATTAAGGACGCACCGGCAATCGGACTGCACTATCGATCTCCGGTCTGAGCAGGGGGGTGATGTGCTGTCGTCGCGCCATAAGCGAAACACATCGAAAGCTAAATCGCGCTAACAAAGTTCCGAAGTTAAAGCAGTATATATAGAATAGCTCCGAACTACCACTCGAAACGTTGGCCGCTCCCCGGGCAGAACACCTTGCCCGGCGGGAGATCTCCCCTTTTCCTTCCACCCGCCACATGTTGAATTTTTACACAGACAAAATATACTAATTGTACAAAATAGAATAAGCAACAGAACTTACTTTGGCTCCAACTTTCCCATCACTTTGTAATTCAGCAGGATATTTATATTTGTAAAAACCACATGGCGCATTTGAAAGAAATTGAACTTTTAAATTTGGTCCACAATGCTCCTTAAGAACTCTTTCAGCTGTCTAGAAAGATAAATTGTTTTTTTTTTATTATTATTGTATATACATACTGTGAATGAGCTACATCGCCGTTCTAGGTATTATAAATGAGGGTTATGTACGAGATTCATTAATGGACAATCAAATTTTAATGAAATGTCGAAAGAACAATGGCAGAAAAATAGTTGACAAAAATTATTGCGTCTATATATCTATAGTTATAATATATAAAATGAGTTTTGTTATTTTTCTATGATTTTTCAAATAAAAATGTATTTTAATTAAAGCCACAGAAAAAAAACCAAATATTTTAGGGAATATCAAATGACTTAAATCATTTTACTCTGTTCAAATGTTGCCATTTACTATTTTCGTATACACTTTGTAAGACTAACAACACAATACACAAACACAAAATATTTTTATATTAACACTTTCACTGTCCTGTTTCCATACACAATAGTAAGACAATAGCAATGACCTATATGTAGTACACGGGACAACAAAAGGTTTAAGTTATTATTAGTAATATATACTACCAGTAATAATAAAAATAAAAGGGATATGGTTCAAAATAAGTCCCTTACAGAGAACTTCCTACAATAATACATTATCTCAATCATAGTACTATGTAACAATTCCGTTTCATGTTTTGGCAAAACTAGCTAAACCAAAATATCACTGTTTTTTTTACTGGCTTGACGGCTCTGGGTTCTAGCCCTTCTGAGAATGTCATTGTATGACAGAAAGACCCTGGAGCCATGCCAGAAATATACATTTACAGTATGCAAATATATAATAGAGATACAATAATCTAAAAACTCTCAATTATGTAGGTAGGTACATTATGTTGAGAATGTATTAAGCTAACATCAAACAACCACAGAACGCATGACTTTTTCCAAGTGACATAAGACATAACCTATAGGTTCAAATCTAAATATCTTTTTTTTGACGCCTTCTCAGGACAAAATTCTTTGACAAAGTTATTAAGGGACTGACACTTAACATTTTAAGATATTTTTGATAAATAGACGCTACCATTCTTTCTCAACTAATATTATGTCTGAAAGTCTGCCATTGTTCTTTGTATTAAATTGAATTTTAAAAATAAAATGATTTTCTTATATTTACGCGTACACTACACTACACACTGAAAACAACTATGTTTACGGATTTTATCACATCTAATTTACTTATTTTAATTACCGACGTTTGGGATGCTTTACAACAACCCATGGTTACAGGGGAGACTGAGATGTTTGACGTCTATACATAACCGCATAGTGGCTCTACCAGGTAAAATGCTAAAATTACTTCATATTTATATATTTTTTGTATGAAATAAAATAACATGCTAGTAATCTTTTTTTAAATATACCTGTCGTAATGTCTCCCCATCTTTCCATTGTCCTTGTGGAAGTATTGTTTTAATATCATTTCCTAATTTAACAGGTGTGACAAGTACTAAATGCCTCTGTAAGCATCTATCTGATGTTGTTTTATCTCCTTTTTTATCTGCTTCTAAAATTTCAAATAATAAGTATTGATTATTAACATAATAAATAAACAAATTTGTTCAAAATCTACAAGTACTCGTACACAATACTTGGAAGCAGTGGTTGCCATAGTAGGCGTGGCCTGGTCACTTAGACGGTATACTAAGAAGAGGCCATGTGACTGGCCAGAGGTTGACACACACACATTGATGAAATGTAGGTATAGAGGTGTCCTTTTGCTCTGCCTTCTGTAACTGATATAAGGTCATGTGGAAAGAGCAGTATCGCTAACATTGCAGTGGTGAGCGCGTAATGTCATTTAAACTGTCGGATTAAAGCAAGATTGAGCTTGTAGATTCTTTGTGCAGCCACCTGTGATCTTACAAACCCAATTTCTAAATTCTGGTCCAAATGCCCAAAGCACTGAGCCACATTTAAGTTATTTACTAACCTGTTTCAATACTTGCAAATTTAAATTGAGCTAACTCTTCACCAGCTGCATCCTCAAAATCTTGTGCAGTTATTTTGCTCACAGCATCCAAGTCCACATCATGTGATTCATTCTTTAAAAGTTCTGCTTGAATTCTATAAATCGACAAATTATAATATGCAAAATACACACATGAATAAAAATAATAATAATTAGGCTCTAGAAACAGATAAAACAAATTCCTTATAATGCACTTAAGGTTTATTAATATTTATATATAGTAAAATATTTCCTATATATGTAACTTTAAAAGATATAAAACATTTAAAGAAAGTTTATGGTTATATATTTGAAGATGGGCCAATTTATGAGCTTTAACTTGAGCATGTATCAAGAGCAGAGAGCCTGCAATCCCAACATAAATAATTGGGTTGACTTCTTTTGAATTGGGTTGAAATTTTTGAATTTAGGTTTAGGTTGAAATTTTTTTGTAGAAATATACTCTTAATTTTTTTCCGAAAACATTACCTCCCCTCTCTTCTCATTCATCCCCAAATTAAACTATCCATGAATTTGGTTATAATTATATGGAACCCTTGATAAAGTAAGGTACGTTGGGGTAAGATCGGTGATGGGGCAAGACCGTAGGATTCAAATTCCCGGCGAATTATGCTATATTTTGAAAAGCTAACAATATGCTACACGACGCCATTTCATCCTGCCCCGACCCTCAGTTCGCGCCAGTCACTCCGGCAAGTGGGACCTGTGCTGCGCGGCATTTTATAAAACAATGTAATTTTTATATTATTTTTGTCCATCCGATCTTTCCCTATCATTTTTATTTACGATTTTTAGCGAGAATATGGCTTCTTTTGTTATTATTTTGTGTGGATACTAATTTTTATGAAGTTATAGCTAAATAAAGCTGGTCCATGCAGGGCTAAGATCGCTGTAGGCCGAGATCCGATGTTTCCCCTCGTGAGTGAAGATCGGATGAATATTATCCGATCTTTGCCTGTTACAAATATGGCAGTGGTTATTAAACTTTCATTGGTCGTGTATATTTTTTCGTTGATTACTCAAGTGACTATGGGACTCAGTCTCGTTAGCAAGTCTGTATATTTAAAAGTAATAAAATAATAAGATGGTTTTATTACTTTTAAGTACACATTAAAATACATTTTTTTATAGGATAAGGGTGACAAAGGAGCACACAGTCCACCTGATGTTAAGTGATTGCTGCGGCTCATAGACATCTATATCTATCCTCTATTACAAATCAAAATGTAATTTATAATAATTATTTAAAAAATAATTTATAATAATAAATGCCGCTTTGTTAAAATATTTATATCTTCCTTAACTCCTGCATTATCTCAGGGCATATCGCCAGTCCTTACTGTTATTTTTTTTCCCATATAAAATCAAATGCATCCGATCTTTCTCTTATATTGAGTAATTCCATCTTATGTCATAACAAAGTTTGAGAAACATAAAATTACAATTTCTTTATATCAGGGATAAGATCGGATGGCAAGAAACAAAAAAAGAGAAAATCGTTTGGAACATTTATGTTTCTAGTAATTTATAGATCATATTGAAATATGTTTTTGAGCGTTAAAGATAGGACAAATCTCTTTTATAAACTTTTTTCTCTAAGCAGTAGAAGTGGTTTTAAATTTAAGTCCGGTCTTACCCCTTAATGGCCAATTTTTCATTATGCATATAAAAAAGTATGTCTAGTTTTCGCACACCTTTAAAGCAGAAACCGTTGAGATTACACAAGCAAAAGATTCTCAGAGCTAAACTACGTTTAACGATTAACGGTTTACTCCATGTTCCATAAATCTGACGTATACGAATGTCGAGAAATTAAAGTTTTTGGCAGACTCTTCCAACTATTCGAAAATCGTACCTTAAATACACTTTTTACACTCTTTCTTCAAAAGTACAGTCAAATTGATAACCTAAGATGTTTTTAAAAATATAGATACATCATACTCGCTTTAGAATAGCAATACGAAAGTCAGGTGATTGCCCGACATTCGGGAACGCTCTTGTGTCGCGGTTATACTTCACTACAGCACATAAATCTTCTAATTATTCATGGCTTAAATGCCTTCCTGTTTTTTAGTAGTGCACAAATTACACGACAACTGTTAGAGACAAGAAAAAATGTCTCATTAATATTTTGAATATCGATGTTTTGTTCATAATTGGTTTTATTATTTCAACACTAAACTCTATAGTAAACTTTGACGCAAGCTAGTGTGTTCATTTTGCCTATTCTCTTCCATATCAATAAGTCACACGCTCTCGCCAATGAGCCCTCAGCAGCAATCAATACGCAACTAATGATATATATTCATCTTTCATTTGTCTCTTTTAGTTAGCACAACGTGTCATAATTAATAACTGTACTACCTGCGCCACTTTAAAATACAGTAATGTTTAACCTGTCTATCCTTATTTATTACATCTTTGTTGAGAACCATTTCTTATAGAGGGGAATAATTGTAATTTTTTTATCAGTAATAAATAAGTTATTACTACAAATCACTTTACTTACTTATCGTTTTCTTGTCTGATCTCGTGATCTGATTTTAAGCTTTTTTCTACTTCCATAGTCCACAATAATTCCTTGTACTTTTTTTGTATATCATTTAATGGTGGTGTGACTACAGGCAATCGTTCTACACATACTCCTGTTACAATATCCCAAGGTGATTTTGTACTTAATCCTTAAAGTAATATAAAGTACATTTTTTATATATATATATAAGACCAATTGTATGAAGAAAATTATGATTTAGGAAAACAGTACATTACCTCTCCTAAGATACCTTAAACAAAACTTTAGCTCTGTGCGTAATAAACCTTTAATAATCATAATTGATACTTAAAACCTTTCTTTGTTATTCAAGAAATCACTTTAATTTCTCTTTAACTCGTAAATCGAACGAAAATAAATATAACCTCAAATCCCAAAAGTCATAATCAAAATTAAAGCAAATGTCAATGTGACAATAACATTGTTGTTCTCGTTTGTCTTTTGGCCTGTGGTACTTTTGACAATGTCAAGTTATAAGAAAATATTTTTTTTTTTTTTTTTTATAAGATAAGGGTGACAAACGAGCACACAGTCCACCTGATGGTAAGTGGTTGCTGCGGCCCATAGACATCTACATCCATCCTCGTTTGCGAATCAAAATGCAGATGCGTTGTCACCCGTGAGGACTAAGATGGAATGCCTCATTTCCAGTAAAAAGGGCCTCCGGCCACCTGCACTCACCAAACGAAACGCAGAGGTAAACCTCTACTTCACGCTGGTATTCTGTGAGGTCGTGGTACCACCCCGGTTCGAGCCCGCCCATCCGTGTGACAGCAAAAGCTGCCGCGTGGCTCTACCACTGTTGAAAAATATCCTGTAGGTACACAGATTACCCCCTAATAGATACCGCATCATTGAATATTTGTTCTGTTTCGAGTTCACCAAATTTGGCCCTATGCAAGGGTTGCGGGGGACGTGGCAAATGCGCTGTGATTGGATATTTAAAGGTCAAACTTAGAATGTACCAAACCATAGTGATGGAACAGGGTTGGGACGTTGATCGATAAATTTGGGATTTATTGATAATGATAATGGTAAATAAATATATTGATCAATGTTTATTTGATAATTTTGATTTGATAAAAAAATTTAACAATGTATACCGTCGTATATTTGTACATTTAATTCGTACGTACATATATTTGTACATTTAATTTATAAATATAAATTTGACTGATTTTTAAAATGGATAAGCTTAGTATAAAATTGTCTCACAGAATTCTTAGGATCTGTCTTCCTGGATAAGTAGAGTAATCTTACGAGTATGTCTATGTATTTTTCCATAACACTCTTAGCTAAATCAATGACATGATTACAACTTTCGTGATCGAATTGGTGATTTTTTTTATTTCATGAAAATTATCCTCATTAACAAAACTGCTTAACGTTTGTGTTAAAAAACCTGGGCGACCATCTACAGATCTGTACAACTTTCCTAGTGTTTTTACAGAGGGTAAAGAAGTATTAAATGTTTTGCGTATATAGTTATAAGCTTTAACTGAGTAATTTATGGTGAGTGTAACTGTGGTGAATATTTTTTTCTAACAATTTTGCCTGATTTTCTAGATTTTGATTTTTCTAAGGAACTTAATGCGTCATTGTTTTCCGCTGTTAATGAATTTTTGTTTTCTAATTCTACCAATAATGACTTCAAAGAAACTATGTATTTGTCTTTTTAGTCTTCTGTTGGAATCAATTAACTTTTTAACTTTTTTATCTTTTTTGTTCATGTTCCTGGCAGGGTCGCCATGTAATGTCGGAACTCGGAAGGTGCTGAATGAAGGAGACGTGTTGCTTGTACAAGAACTTTAATTATACTGTCCTCTATTCTATACTTAATACTAATTTTATAAATGTATATTGTCGGAGGTAAAGGGGAGTCTACAGGGCACTACACGTTGGTTAATTCGATGATTCTTCTACAAAGATATTTCAACTGGAGTATCAAATGCAGATGGCGTATCAGGTATAGGAGAAAATTTTCTTTTTTGTTTTGTAGGCGTTTCTAAGCAATGACTCTGATTTTTAAGTTTTTCGTCGTTTCGTCCCCTCGACAAGTTGCGTAGATACACATCTTTTTTCCTTTCGAAGCATTTAGGAAACCTATAACATAATAGGTACCACAATGATACGTCACTATTTTTATAAAATAATATGACTTCGAAAAAAATAATTAAACGATGACCAAACAAATATCGACTTAAAAATCACAACACTATCGATACACGTGCTGTTGTTAGACAAAGACAACTATTGTAATTTACGTAACGAGTGAAAGGGACATTTCAAAAAGACATCAACGGGTGCTTAATTCTTATCACTTTGCACCATTATTATACCAGTATAAGTTGATCTCCGGTGCATTTGAAATAGGTTAACGTGATAAGAATAGAATTTACTTACCGATTAAAATTTATGCCATATTTTTGATAACTGGATGCCTTGGGTGACTTGTCACACCATTTTACTGCACAGGAAGCCATTTGTAATGTATTTTAGATACAAAACTATTTTTAAATTGTCAAGAACTCGGACGTGCCTACGGATCACAAACTTGGTCGATACTGATGTCGTGATTCTTAGCGTCACTTCGTATGCTAGCTACAGCAAGTATGTGTTGCGCGCATTTGTGGCCCTGTATGCGGAATCTATTAGGGGGTAATCTATGTGTAGGTATAATAGTTTGTTTTCAAATTTCTCTACATTATGTTTATGCGGCATATTGCGAAGTTTCCTGGAGATTTTGACGGCATCTTGAGCGAGAAGACAGTCAATTACGATAGTGTGGCGGCGCTGTCGTCGCGCCACAAGTGAAACAAATCAAAGCCTAAGGCCGCCCACATACATACGGAATTCCGTTTCGAGATTCCGTTTCGATATTCCGATTCGGAATCCCAAACGCAGCAAGTCCATATAAAATCTATGACCCGCCACACACGTACGGTAGTTTTCCTTTCGATATTTTGCGGGCAAAACGGGATTCCGTTTGTGTGTGGCCGACCGTTCGGTATTCCGAAACGGAATCTCGAAACGGAATTCCGTATGTATATGGCGGGCCTAAATCGCGCTAACAAAGTTCCGAAGTTAAAGCAGTATATATAGAATAGCTCCGAACTACAACTTGGAGCGTTGGCCGCTCCCTGGGCAGAATACCTTGCCCGGCGGGAGATCTCCCCTTTTCCTTCCGTGATTTGGCAGCGCTGTCGTCGCGCCAAAAGCGAAACAAATCGCGAAGCCTAAATCGTGCTAACAAAGTTCCGAAGTTAAAGCAGTATATAATATAGAATAACTCCGAACTACAACTTGAAGCGTTGGCCACTCCCCATGCAGAACACCTTGCCCGGCGGGAGATATCTCCCCTTTTCCTTCCACCGGCCACAATAGTATCTCGAGGCACCAAAAGCACAAATATCGGACATGTAGATTTAAACTAGAATCCATCGCGGATTAATTAAGTAGTATATAAGTAATGTATCGCACATTAATAGTAATCTGTTTAAAATAAAGTCTTTTTAAAAACGCCCTGAGTCAATTTCGAATCTTGACTGGCGCTGCCGGTAGGATTTCGCGTGTAAAGCTTGCTCATATAAGAAGACTGCCAAATCATCGTCGTGTAGCAGTTTACGGTGCCGTCTTGCACTTGCGCGAAATCTACGAACCGAAATAAATTTGTCGAATTCGAATCAGGACATCAAGAAAGAAGACTTTGTAGCCCAGGCGGAAGGATGAGTTCGAGTGTACTGTGAGTAAACCTTTTCACGTATGGACGTGAAGATGATGGTTCTCTGTTCCCATCTATTTTTACTTGCTAGAATTTTAGTGTTATTTGATTTTTCCTAAATCGAACAAAAGGTAATGATATAGAATAATTTATTCTATATCATTAAGTTTAATAATTAAATATTGAAAATCAATTTTAAATGAATAAAATTGTGTTATAAAAAAATACATATAAACAAATAAAAGGATATATTAAAGAAATAAAATTAATAATTATATAAATTGTTATATTAATATTTAATAAAATGGAACAATTACGTGTAATACTTAAGGATTTACTTTGTCTTATACCTAAGTTTGAAGGAGAGGAAGGATTATTAAATTTATTTACTAAGAAAGCTCAAGCTCGGGAGATGCGCGCGGTACTTGCACGTGGCTCTTTTCCCGCGCGCACTTTCTTGACTCCCTACAAATATTTCATCTATTCCTTGTCCCAATTTTACGTCACTCTCCCCCTTCTGGGGCTGACGGCACTATAACGCATACGACATCGGGCCCTCCTACCAGCATTCTCTCCTGCCCCATTCCACGATCGCGACACCCATGCGCGCAGCAGCCCGTAGTTCACCCCAGTGGCATTGAGTCCGATGATATTGCTAAGGTGACTTAGCACAGCTGCTCCAATTGTTGGGTCGGCATGATAAGCGCCAGCCCTCGGATGACCGCTCACCTGCACGGTCTCCGCAACCTGGGAGTACTGTTCTTGTACAAGAACAATGTCCAGATGCAGTTCACGCGCCTGATGGGCAACTCAGCCGTGGCAAGCTCCCCCCGACACAGATTATTTGTCCTAGTCGTAATGCCTTGTCTTCATGGTTGTCTACGGGGCCACCCTTACTGGTAGTACTGAGTGCTAGCCACATAGCGTTGCTCTGCATACAGCCTTGCTTCCATGTGAGGCCGAACCTGCGCCTTATAAAGTTGCAACCGGTGTACCGGCATGAAATACTGTCCCGCTCTGCTGAGCACGCCAAGCTTTTTAGAGGTCAATTTGACCTTCCCTTCCAAGTGACCACGAAACTGCACGTCACTCGATATGTCGACACCGAGGATACCGATACTGGCTGAGGCAACAAGGGTAGTGTCTTAAAACTGAGGAATACATTTACAGGTCTTTCGCAGAACCTAATAATGCCACACAAACTTTATATGTATTCCATGCGATGAACAGCCGATTAACAGGTAGAGCAGCACATTTGTTAAGTGAACGTGATGATATTAATTGTTGGAACACTCTTAAAGATATTTCAATTCAACATTTTAGCGATCCGCGTTCAAAAGATTGCATAGCTATCGAGTTAGAACAAATGAATATTAAGTCTGGCGAATCATTTATCGATTTTTGTCATAGGATACAACATATGCGTAGTACCTTATTCGCAAAAGTCAATCTAATACAAGATGAAGGAGTAAAAGCAGCTAAAATGTTAGTGTATAGTAATATGTCTATACACTAACATTTTAGCTGCTTTTACTCTATGAGGATTTAATTCGTATTGTGCATCTTAGACAATGTACTAGTTTAGAATCCGCTTTAAGTGTCGTAACCGAGGAAGTGAACTTCATGAACCAATATAATGCTAAAATAAAACGAAACAGAATACAGCATCCCAAGGTTTCAAACCCCAACAAAGTGTTAATATTTTACCTCATAATAATCAATCGTATTTTAAATTTGCAAATCCACAATTTGGACCACAGAATAAATTTAAATTTGGTAAGCCACATCAGCAACAAGGTCAAAGATTTGTTGCTCAAAACAATTTTAATAATGACCCAAGATATAATAATAATACAGGACCACAGAACTTTAAGTTTGGTATTCCAAACCAGCAATCTAAATTTAAATTTGGCATACCTCAACAATACCAGGGCTTTAGGCCACCCATGAATAATCATGCGGACCCCCACTAGCTTTTACAAATCAACCTCAAAATAATTTTAAATCTGGTTTACCCAATCAGAATTTCCAGAAACAAAATTTAAATGAAAATACCGATGTCTCTATGCGTACCACACTTCCGCTAAGACAAAATATGCTAGATGACCCTAGGGTTCCCCAAGATAACTAAATAATACAAATAAACTGTGACACAATTTTAAAACTCCCGCACATCGAAATACCCAAAATTCAGGCTCGTTTTATGATAGACACCGGGAGTACGAGATCTTTTATAAGTCCGGCTAAGGCAGAATAATACTTCTCCGCTTTCAAATTATATGAACCTTTCGAAGTTATTAGTACGTATGCACGTAGCCAACATAACGAAGCTATATATATCCTGCTCTTTAAAACATTTAAAAGTTTACAAAAACATAAATTCTATATATATGACGTCGATAGTATATACGACGGTTTGATAGGTTCGGATCTTTTAAAACAGCTTGACGCTTCAATAGATATGAAAAACCAAGTATTGCACACACGTGACACAAATATACCTATTATATACAACCCCCCATACGAAATTACATTGGAACCAAGAACGGAAACGCGAGTCAAGGTCCCAACGGATATGCAAAATGGAATAGCGATAATAGATTATGTCGATTTTGGTCAAAGTGTTAGGATGCCAAGCGCTATAGTAAAATAGGTTGATTCGTTTGCATACACGGTGAAACAAAATTTCGTTGCCGACGTCTTATCCCGTGTTAAGAAGGTAAACGCGCTGGGTGAAGGCCAAAAATCAATGAAGTTTAACGTGGATAAGGATGAACAACTGCAAAGACACATAGACAGCTTAATCGAAGAAATTCAAAGATTACAAAACAAGGACACAAATCCGATGGAAATATCATCGGATACGGAGAGGACCTTATCTATCCCGTCCGCTAAGAGCAATAAATTACCATATTCTATACCATCACCGACAAGTAGTACCATTTCAGCACACGAAACATTTGATAACTCACACACCTTTACAAGACACTCAGCACATGAAATAGATACCGATGGTATTCCAATTCTAGAGGAGGCCATAGATAAGCCTCATCAAATATTTATTTTTACGTGGTATAGAGACGAAATAGCCGTTAAAAATTTATCGGGACAAAAACAAAGAATACTCGAAGTCCATATTCCCCTAAATAGACCTGATCTAGTAAAACAATTCCTAAAGGAGTACATCAAACCTAAAATAAAACAATTCATTTACTTCGAGAACGACGCACATCGAAAACAATTTTCAGAGGCTCTAATTGAGTTATTTATAAAGGGCACGAATGTTAGGAGAAGTTAAGATAAAGCGCGTTATGAAAAAGCAGAGGTCGTAGGAGATATAGTTATAAATACAGTACCAATTAAGTATCACGGTCAAAATACAAGGACCCCAATTAAGGATATAAAACGTCCTCCACAGGTTCATTCTGTTCCTGCTGCAAGTCTTCAGGGCCCAGGCCCTTCTACTTCAACCGATTGTCCGAAATTCCGGCATACTACCAATAAAGGAGGCACAAGCTCTCATTAGTAACGATAAGTGGTCCTTAGTTAAGATATTAGACTTAAGCGTGACGTGACGTGAGGATCTAGAATTTAATAATAATCGATACGATAACCTAAATACACATGTGACACGCTATTTTGGTAAAAAAATAATTAACTCTGAAATAAATAATTTAAAAACTCTAACAGATTATATTCAAAATATAACAATTGAAAAATTAAAGCAACTATTACCATCGAAAAGGGCTAAACGCGGTATTCTAAATCCTCTCGGGTCTCTTATTAAAATTGTGACAGGTAATTTGGACAATGATGATGCCATAAGGTACGATGCTTTAATAAATGATGTAAAAGTAAATCAAGGTCAGCTAAATAGAAAAATGACAGTGGTCGCCGAAATGATGAAAACCTTTATTAACGTTACAAATAGTACAAAATTCAATTTCATACAGCTGGATAAAACTCTTTGGGAAACGAGAAAACTAATTAATATAACAAACAACTCTCAAACGTAACTTAAAATAGCTAACGTATATAACCTGTTTCTACATAATTTTCAAACTATATATATCAAACTAGATGAAATTGAAACAGCGTTAGCTTTTAGTAAACTAGGAACATTGCCTTAGTCTATTATTGACACCGATGAACTCTTGTCATTTAAAAATTATTGAACAAAGAAATAATCTTGTATTTCCTGTAAAAGTAGAAAAGATTTTAAAATTAGAGCAAAGTATAGATTTAAAAGTATATGCAAGGGAAAATCAAATAACCTTTATTCTAGATATACCCCTAGTTGATCCGAATACATACGTATATTACAAAATTCTTCCTTTACCTACCACTAATTCCATGAACCAAGCATCCCTTATTGTAACCAAATACCCCTACCTTCTGATGAAAGGGTTGAACGCGCTGTCACTTCTTCACCCATGTAAAGAAATTGATGACTCACTGTTCCTTTACCTGTTACCAACCTAATGAGTTTTGCAGCTAACACTACCCAATGCTGGCCCCTATTAGATTTTGATAATGTAAAGATAATGAAAATAGAAACCGATCGATGGATGTTCTATTCAAAAATTACAGTATTACTTACAAAAAAATGTGGAAATGAAATATCATACTATAATTTAATTGGGACATACATAATCTTAGCCAACGATAAAGCTAAAATTAAGGTATTCAGTCTGAAAAGGCATCATGAAAATAATATAGAAGAATACCCGTTAACTCCCTTACCAATAATAAATCTTCCGGAAACATCACAGCTGTTAATGAAGACATCTTCAAATCCAGCAGCAGTAAACCTGGATGACGTGGACCTGACCAATCTACAGCAGTTAAGCCACATATTAACCAGTGATAGTGTAAAAAGTGAGCAAAGTGAAAGTGTCATAAATGTGAAGGACATAAGTATCGGGACATTAATTTTATATGTAATATTAGTTATAATAATTGTAATCCTTTGTAAAAAATATTTGTATCGAAATTATCGGACTCGGAAAACTTCGCCCGTTAACTTCGAATCTGAGGGGGGAAGAGTTATGCATCCTGGTATTCCCGGAACTGCACCGGAGACCATCACAATTCAAGCGTAAGCGTGGGCTGAATTGCGTCTGAAAGACGGGTGGTCTTTCGTGTGATAACTACTCTGAAGCTAGAGAGCTTAAAGATCTAGAATAAGCATTAGGATAGTCATAGTTAGGCTCTCACATGTATCGGACATGTAGATTTAAGTTAGAATCCATCGCGGATTAATTAAGTAGTATATAAGTAATGTATCGCACATTTATAGTAATAAGTTTAAAATAAAGTCTTTTTAAAAACGTCCTGAGTCAATTTCGAACCTTGACTATTACTCGAATAATCATTTAAAATGATAGCAGACTGAATAATTAAAATTGTTTGTTTCATGTTCATTGACATTGTGTTTTTTCGATGAGTGTTTTATTTCAAATGACTTACATGAACATCGTTTCTGTGAGAGTGTTTCCACACATAGATACGCCACATAGTTTTTGAAATCAAATATTTAGTTAAAAAATACCAATGCGTCACTGTATATAGTTTTATAAGCAAAAATCGAGCGTATTTCTAATACAGCAATTAAATCCTGCGTTATAGTATTAGCGAGTTAGGAAATCTCGGAAGACTTACTCTTATGATTAGTTTGGAAATCGCTGCCTGCCCAATCCCAATATTTTTTTAAAACTGGCTTTACGGCTCTGGGTTCTAGTCTTTCCGAGTCCAATCCCAATCTTTAACAATAATCACAGAGTATACATTAAATATGTGACACATGACAATATTTTTCTTTTTATCTACTGGCAAGTTTTGTGTTCTTTTCCGGCTCTCTGTGTCACTGAAAGTAAGCTGTAATTCTGTTTTTAGTGCAAAAATCTAAATTAATCCTTGTTATTTGTTATTCTTTAAATGAAATATTTGTAAGAGCAGTGTAATATATAATGCCTGATACGTTTCGATTATTATTTCACTTCGTTTATAATGAAAACACATACAATCAATTGTCAAAGTGTCGATTAGGTTATGTTCATATATTTCTTTTATTGTAGGCCTCACAATGAAGCAAATAGTTGCGAATCAAAAAGTGAAGATCCCAGAGGATCTCACAGTTCATGTGAAATCCCGATTGGTAACAGTGAAAGGGCCCCGAGGCACACTAAAACGAAATTTCAAACACTTGGCTGTTGACATTCGCATGGTAAACCCTCGGCTACTGAAAGTGGAGAAATGGTTCGGATCAAAGAAAGAGCTTGCTGCTGTAAGAACTGTTTGCTCTCACGTGGAGAACATGATTAAAGGTAAGATCACTCATTTGATCTGATTATTCTACAATACTATTCAAATTATAACAAGAAAATGTAACAACAAAACTACTGTTAGGTGAATCCGTCTTTTTATGATCATAATTTATTTAGTATATATATATATGTAAACAATGTCGTTTTATAACTTATTTAGCACATTGCTTAGCTTTTTTGATTAATGTTAATTTACAACATGATCTTGAGCTAATGTAATAGAACTAAGAACCGATTATTCAATCCTCAAGACTGTTAATTCCGCTTATAGCAAATAATTGAGCTTTTCCATCGCCAGGCTTTGAATGTCTGGTAACTCTGCTAGCTAAGCTATTAATCTGTCCCTTCGATGAATTACAATCAGATAATCAAAAGATAGTTTCGATGACATTAGACAAAACTTACTTTTTTTTTTATTTTACTTCTCTTGGTTTTCTATTTATTACAAAAATAAGAGTGTTTTAATAATTTTGATTGAATTGATGACCTGCCTATTAAGGAAGACATTCTGAAATATGAATTGATAAATTTATTTGAAAGGAAAATAAACACTTTCAGAACTAGACCTTATTACTACAGATGGGCTGAACATGGGACTTACTGAATATGAATATTCGGCCAAATGTTTGGCAAAACTTGTACTGAACTAAATATTGTGCGTAATTGATTGTTATAGCTAAATTGTTCAGATCTGTACTTGTTACATGTTAAGTTTATAATAATTATGGTTATGTGTATAGTGTTCAATAAATATTTTTATTTTCTGAGAAACTGAAACTATAATTAAAATCTGCTGAAATCTAATTCTATTATGAAACTCTTTCTAGCAGTAAATATTGATTAAAACTTAAACCTATATTTTTTTTTATATAGTATAGGGTGACAAACGAGCACACAGTCCACCTGATGGCAAGTGGCCGCTGTGGCCCACAGACATCTACATCCATCCTCGTTTGCAAATCAAAATGCAGATGCGTTATCACCTGTGAGGACCAAGATGGAATGCCTCTTTTCCAGTAAAATGGGTCTCCGGTTCTGTACACTCACCATACGAAACACAGCAGTGTTAAGCTGCTATTTTACGCTGGTATGCTGTGAGAGCGTGGTCCTTCCCCGGTCGAGCCAACCCATTTGTGCTACAACTATACCAGTAATATAGTTGCAGCATGGCTCTACCACGTAAAAAATATATTATAGTTCACTGTAAGTTCAGTATTGTCAAGTTACTTAAACATTTATCTATAACCATCTTTTTATGTACTGTTCTTGGAAATAATACTACAGTGTCTCAAAAAGCATAAAGCTATACTCTAAATTACTTATTTGTGTTGCTCAATCAATCGCACAAAACTTAATAAAGTGAACTTTAGTACCCATGAAGCTAATACAAAGGGGAGACAGCTTAAGCAACTGTGCACTGTGATTCTAAGTAGGTCCTGACGTCATCATAGTGGGCGTGGCTTTAGTTAGTATACTGTCAGCATTCGTCCTGTGCGCTCGTGTTGAAAAAATCGCAAATCGATGTATTTTCGTAGTATTAAGAAGAAAAGGATGAAGTGTTGTGTTTTATTGTGTAAAAACTACTCGGATAGACGCTCTGATGTTATGGATGGCATCACATTTCATTTGTAAATAATTTTACACCTAATTTATTAAAATAGTTCTAGAAAAATCTCTTTGCGTTGGCTTTCAAATATAATTAAATATATTACTAGATGGCGACACTTTGTGTCATGTGAACTAAAAATATAAAAGTCCGTAGAGCTCAGTATTGGTAAAATAAACATACAAAGGTGCTGAAATTTGTTTTGCATTCATTCAGACATAAAGAAATTTTAATCGCCAAAATATTATTTTTTAGTTTATAACATTTTGTGGATATGCCGACATCTACCGTCAAGGTAGCTAAGCTACATTGCAACATTGATATGGAAAGATTCGAGTAGTTTTACTATTTATCGGTAGATGTAGATAGTGTAGTGGGCGGGGCTTTGCATCCCCTCACCCCGCAAATTGTCACGTGTTGTTTCATAGTGAAATTGAATTACAACGTCTCCTCTTTGTATTTGCTTCATGTTAGTACCACTTTGCTGGTACTAAAGTTCACTGTATTAAGGTATTTTTAAATTGATGAATTCTCCAAACATTTGGTTCAATATGCATGGTTAACCAGAAGAATATACAAAATACTGCTTATTATTCCTTTTTTTTTAAGATTTGCAATCGGCTTATCTAGCCATAATCAAATGTGGTTAGCAGATTATATATATTTTTGAGGATGTGGCCCCATTGAACCGACATCAATATAAAACATGATAAGAGCTATCCTCCAGTATATGCCATCTTTTTAATCATGTTGTGGTTTCGTTATTTAGGAGGTTCTTAGCCAACTCATTAGTATGTCCTAGTAGTTTCTTCTTATATTGCATACAGTTTATGTTTACTTCTTCCTTTACTGTGAGCAACTTGAGGTATTCATGGATTTCGGGAGTTCTTATGAACCACCCTGAGCCTGATATTGTTCATAAGGCTATGTTTTGGAATCTCTGTAGGATTTCTAGGTTGGATTTACTTGCAGAACCTCATAGTTTTATACCATAAGTCAATACTCGTTTTATGATGGCTTTAATCACAGCTATCTCCTAACAACCAGTAGTTTATTGTTAGGAGATAGCTGTAATTTGCTTCCCAATAGCCAAGAGGAGGACTTTTGTAATAATATAATAAAAGTACATACATACGTACATGTAATAAAATACCAAATATGAAATAAATATTGGACCCATCCTACTTATTACAATCACTTTACTTTGTGATATACAAAATATTTAATTGTCTAATCAGAGTTTTAAAATCTAGTAAAAATAGACATGAGACATTCATTCATTTCTAGTGAACGGATCATTCAACTATTGATTTGTTTTCCAGTCAATTCATATGGATCATTTAGTTTCAGTATACTCAGTGATCTGTTAGACTTGCTCGATAATGTTGTTTGTTGGACATTACTGTACTCCAGAGATTATCAAACTTATTTCTTTTATCCGCCCCTTTTGAAAATCAATTATTTTTCTGCTAAAACTTAAAAACCACAATTTCATTACTTTAATTAATTTAGTTATTGTGTACTATATTAGTCTGTTCTGGTGTTTAAACTTACATTCTAAACTAGACATTATTACCAGTGAGAGCAATTAAAACGCAGCTTTATAATATTAAGAATATATTTTAATCAAATTAAAAGCAACAATTCTTATTCTTTATTCTTGTTTAAAAAATATAGATTGGAAATCAATTTTAGTTTTAAAAGTAATCTAATGAGATGGATGAATTTGATTATTTTTAACAAGTTTGTTGGTATTAGGTTTGATTTTACTCAAAAACAGGTCACCACATTCGGTAACATGCAAATAATTTTTTTTAGTAAGCAGCATTGTCACAGCACTAAATCCACGTTCACACATATATGACAATGGGAATTCTATTAAAAAATCCTTGAACGATCAACCACAATCCAGGGTACAACTGTGGATTTGACTTTTGTAGCAAAAATTCTTGGTAGCCATTTTTGAGTTTGATTTTTATTTCCTCGTTCGTTGTCAGTTCTATAAGTTTTTCTTCCAGTTGGGGTGATACTGCTATGTTCGCATTTGAAAAAGGATCTAACATCCAGTTTGGTATTTCCAAATTTTGGCAGTAGACAAGCAAGTCGCCGTTGTTGCAGAGGATACTGATAAATTGGGAAAATTATGGAACTCACATCTGCCAATATTCTTCTTGTGTAAGAAAGCAGAGACGACATTTTTTGTTTTTATTAAGTTCAAGTCATCACCTTGAAGTTGGATATTCATATCATTAAACAATTTATAAAGGTTTGTTAGATATGCGATGTCATTCTTTCATGTGATGAGGTTGTTGCACAATTCTGTGTCTTTGTTTTCCAAGAACTCTACAACAGAGTCAAACAGATTGTAAAATTGAATCAGACAATTTCCTTTTGATAGCTAATGCACTTCTGTGAAAGGTTGAAATCTTCATTATTAGTAACACAAAACTGATTAAATAATCAGTTATTTCAAGAGTTGTTTTGGATTTTATTGCCTACTCTGATGACATGTTGCAATGATTGAAACAGATAGCAACCCAAATGTTATCGATGTATAACTCTATGAAGCCTTTTTTATACCCCATCATAGCTGGAGCACCATCTGTAGCAGCTGATATGATATTCTTCAAGGGAATTCATTTTCCATCACAAAACTTTTCCAGTGTTTTAAATATGGTTTCTCCTTTTGTGTCTGTCTCTAAATTTCTAGCCAATAATAGTTCTTGATATATTATTTCATCTTTAATAAACCTCGCGTAAGACAGCAACAATGCTTCATTAGTTGGTAAAGTGGTCTCATCCAACTATATTGAAAATTAACTAGGCTTCAGATGATTGCACAATGACTTCAATGTTTTCAGCCACTTCGACAATTCGTCTTTGCACAGAACTATTGCTCAAAGGAATTTTTCGAATTATATCTGCCGTCGGTTTATGGAGCACAGTAATTATAACTTCTTTTATTGGCAGCAAAATTAACGTTTCTCCGATGATGTGTGGTTTACCTGTTTGAGCAATTAACAAAGAGATATTGTATGAAGCTCGAAGTCTGGTCATCGTCTTGCTTAGCAGCCACAGAAAAAAGTTTTGATACACTTGGCTGAGCATTATGCTTCTTTGCCAGGTCTTGAAAATGGGCTACATTTTTGTCCTTCTTATCTGGATGCATTTTATTCAAATAATCTTGAAGGCTTCATAAAATAATTTTAAAATAATAAAATGTTTTTGAACAAAGAAGGCACAACGGCAAAGATGGATTTGTCGAATTTTCTATGAATCCATATTAGTAGTAATCTGATAAACGGTATGGCAGTGCATAAAATGCGAACAACCAAAAATTATTTTTCAAATATTAGATTTTAAATCTCTGTCTAATAATATAATAGTCTGTAAATACAATACAGAATAACTGTATTGCATTTACAGACAATCTCATAGTAATAATCCAACATGTAGTGGCAGTGTAAGAATATCCACTACACCATACTGTGCTGTGCATATTGTAAGAGGCAACTGAATGAATCAAACAAGATGGTCAAGAAGTCCTATTAACATCTAAAAAATAAAAAACTGTGCTACATATTTGCCATAGTTGCCATGCTTGCAGCTATGGCAAATATGAGGCGATCTGTGAGGAGGTCTATGTTCAGCAGGGGACTTAGTTTAGTTTCCATTAAGTTTAGTGATGATTATGTAGTAATTATACTCTATTTTTATAAACATCAACATATTATCATAATTACTACCTACGTAATTAGATTCCTTCAACTATAGATCTTCATGGCATCTTATATAGTTTTTAAAGAAATGCCTGTTCAATCCGAAAGAGACACATGGATACTATCGTGACATTACCAAAGAAAATCATATTGTTAACAAATATAAAATGTTATTGTTATTCAACATAAATGTTTTTTTAACTACAATTTGCTCAAAATTTAACAAATTTCTAAAATCTGGCAACAAATTCACATTCAAAGTTACCAGTATCATAATTTGTGTGGTGGAAGTCTATTAAATATTTTCTGTCTTCCCTATTTCACGAGACTGGGTTATAAAGTCTGTTTTTGGTTGTTGGTTTGTTGTGTAATTTTATTGTAGAACTTGCTTTGATTACCTTTGGGTCAATTCCTTTCATTGGCCTTTAAAAATGTCATAATAGTTCTACCTTCGTCGTTTCTGTGTCCAAAGAGGACAAGAGGAACCTCGTTTTGAAACTATATTTTAATTAGTAGTAGTAGGTTTTAGAGTTCAGTTAATTTATTTATTTAATGTCAATTCATTTAAAAAAAAATGGTTAACAATTTTGTATGATTATTTGTCTTAAGTACAGCATCCTTGTAACTTATATTTCATAAAGTGTATTACTAATTTCAGGTGTGACAAGAGGATTCCAGTACAAAATGCGTGCTGTATATGCTCACTTCCCCATTAACTGTGTAACCACCGAAGGCAACACTTTGATTGAGATCCGTAACTTCCTTGGTGAGAAGTACATCAGAAGGGTAAAAATGGCACCTGGCGTTACAGTCATCAACTCGCCCAAGCAGAAGGATGAGCTGATTATTGAAGGCAACTCAATTGAAGATGTCTCCAGCTCAGCAGCACTAATTCAACAGTCCACCATGGTCAAAAACAAGGACATCAGAAAGTTCTTGGATGGTCTATATGTATCTGAGAAGGGTACTGTGGTAGCAGAAGAGGCGTAAGATCATTAAATAATAACTTTGAATTCATTTCTTTTATTTTAGTAATGTACTAAACAATGCAAATGACTGATGAATGAACTAAACAAAAGCAATATCTGCTAAACTTCTATTGAAATAGTATATTTTTTAACTGGAACCTTAAAGGGCCTAAGCCCTTAAGCGTATTAGTGACCATAAATATTTTACAAATGTATACTTTTTAATTTCTATTAAAATGTGGCCTGTTCATAGAAACTTCTAATAAAAATAATAAATAAATGTCCTCCAGACAGAATTTCGGTCACGGGGGCCAGTCTTCACAGAGGGAAGGACATGATTAAAGTGCCCAAGTGTATGCTCAAGCATAGGTGCACTCTATTCTCTTATTCTCATAGGCCGATGAGATAGTAAACTGATCGAAGAAAGAGATCAGACGCTGGATCAACGGCTTTACGTGATTTCCGAGACACGGGTGTGAAACACCGCCAACTTCCTGCCTCCGTCCCGCTATTGAGAATTTCTTGTCAGAAAAACCCAATAACTAATTCTGACCCCACCTAGGATTTGAAGCCGGGACTTCAAGATCATCAATCGCGTTTATGACCACTAGACCAACGGGGCAGTCAATTTCTAGCAATATAAGTTAAACAAAACTTTTATATTGGGATCAAAAAAGAAACCGACTGTTTAAAAATCCCATTGGTAATGCTATGCTAAGGACAGCCGTGGTCATAACAAGCTCATGAGATCATGTCATAAAGGTTAATTATACAAGTGCCGAGGCAATAGAACAAAAAAATTAAAAGTAAAAAACTAAAAAAAACAAGCTTTTATATAAATGCGTTAAAAAAATTAAATAAACTTTTCCTTTAATAGTTTTACTATCAATTTATAATGTCATTACATAATTTATATGATACAAAAGCTTGTCGCGATATTTAAGTATACTCGTTTATACTTAGTTTGAAAAATTTAAAAATTCAATTCAATGAGATTCAGTTATTTAATTTACTTGTTTATGTACACTTATGAGGTCACTACTCATAAATTGTGTAATGACGTCATAAGTTGATAGTAAAAGTTTATTTTATTTTTTTAGCGCATTTAAATAAAAGCTTGTTTTTAAAAAAAAAAATACTTTTAATTTGTTTTTTAATTTTTAGTTATCGCTGGACAGGTTTATCAGTCTGTTCATCTCATTCAACGCATCATTGTTGCAAGGTCATTTGTCGGTTAATTCGAATAGTTTAGCTCTTTTCAGACGGATTGGAGTAACGTAGTTTATGATCCATCTTACCATCTATTTTTTTTTTAACTGGCATTAATATTCTCAGCTAGTTTTTTTTTCACTTGATACCCATATTGTAGGAAAGCATAAAAAACTTAGTCCGCCATATTTAGAAGTCCGCCATATTGAATTTAGAGTGATGTCACTTTATTTTCCGAGTTAATCTTAGCAAGCCTTTTCATTTGCTACCCATATCGTAGAAGTGTATTAAAAATAAGTAGTCCATGTTGGATTTAGAATGACGTCACACAGCTAAACATGCATTGTCATTCAAACTAAACGTGTGTACAAAATTTCAGCTCAATCAGTAGAAGATATCTGCTTCAAAATTGAGTTGCAAGATTCCACCTGAACAAACATTGCAAGTTAAATAAAACCTTATAAAACAATCTGATTTAGCGCATTGGCCAAGCGTTAGGCTGCATAGCGGGCCTACTAAAGGTGGATGTGCCTTACTTTTCCTTCTACGAGTCCTGGGTTGGTCCCACTCTCATCTATTTTAACACCAAATAGCTGCTGTGTTAGAACTGTTAAAGAGCTGGTTATAAAGACTAACTGTGTGCTGTTTCATTTTAGTCTGAAAGGTCACAATGCATCTGTAACCTTAGCTTGATGTTGGTTACAGGTGCTTGCTAGGTCAGTTACCATCAGGTGGATTGGTATGGTAACACTGGTCACAATAATATTATAAATAATTTAAAATTAAAAAATTTGTACAGCCGACTTCAATATAAGTTAATAAGAATAACTCAAAAACTATTGGTCTGACCTTCATCAAATTCATATGGGACCACAAGAGAAGTATCAGCTTTCATATAAAAAAAGAATCATCGAAATCGGTCCACCCAGTAAAAGTTATGAGGTAACACACATAATAAAAAAAACATACGCGTCGATTGAGTATCGTCTACTTTTTGGAAGTCTGCAGAAAATGATATTGTTCTTGGTTTTGATATTTGTTTGTCAGTGTTTATTTTAATGATAGTTTCTGGGAGATGTGATGATGCAAATATGCATATAAGTTCAGTCAAAAAAAAAACAAGATAATCTTTAAAATATTTATTCCACATAATTGAAGATAAGTAATAAATTCATTTAAACTTGCATAAAAACCATTACGTAGGTAGTTTTCTTTGGGGATACAGTTTTACAAGAGGGTAAGTATTTATTAAAAACTAGCGATCCGCCCCCAGCTTCGCACGGGTGATATTTGGATTTCGACAACAGTGCCATCTACCAGGTCCAAATGTGAATCTAAACAATATAGGGATTAGAGACCCACACAAAAATTTCATCAAAATCGGTCAAACCGTTTTTGAGTTTTAGCTAGCCTAACTTACAGCAATTGATTTTTATATAATATAGAGATAAATGCAACAGTTGCTGAGAGAAGTTACACTGAATTGCGGTACCACAGTGTGGTGCCGTACTGAAATGTAATCTATGGCAAATTTATTTGGCCTCACTGGGTGCCGGTGCAGCGTGAGAATTAACGCTAGACGGAAAAAAATTATAAATAAATATAAAAATATTTTATGTAATTTAGTGATCGATGATGTAATATAAATAATAGTGCTCTTATAATAGTATCTAATAAATTCGAAGCTTCTCAGGCGCTCACACGGATTTTATAAACGCGCCATACATATGTATGTAATTACTAAAACGCAGACACACTAAAGAATATACAGGGTTATTTTTCAAAGAGTAGCCAAATATTAAAATTTTAAATATATAAATAATGATATACCGTTATTGCAGTTTTTGAAAATACGAATAAATTAAACTTACTTTTATATCAAATTATCCCAAATTTAATGTTATTTATGGGCAACAACTACACACACGCGCACTGCTCTGTGTGCAATTTCAGAACGTTTATGCCTACCTTATGATGTGTGCGTACGTAGTAAAATATTATGGGGCCTATACATCATCGGCCATGATCGAAAACCACAGAATGGAGCATGATTGTCACAATTATTGCGCGGCTGTCCACACAATAGTGCATCCTACATATTTGTATTGTCATCTGTCCGAGATGAACGTTGAAATAGTAGCAGCTGCCGCTATTTATTTTAATTAGTTTATAATAGTATGACTATTATTTAAATGCAGACCATAAAAGAGTGGTAAAAAAGGGAAGCAAAGAAGGTGGATGTTAACTATACGCCGAAATAGAACAAGGTAAGTTTATAGGGCATTGGGAGCATCGGCGTTCGACGGTCATGTAGACGCGCTCACGTTCTTGGCCGAACTTCCTTTGATGTTTGTCTGAAAAACTGACACAGCGGCCATTACGCTCGATCATTGCCGATAATGGGCAGTTATAGGCGATTATGTCTTTTACACGATCGTGTTCGCTAGATTCGATTCGTCCATCATGGCCTATGGTGTATAGGCCCCAGTATGCGTTAGATATTTATGAATGACAGTTAAAATATTGCATTACTACGCATTTTGAATTTAAAAGATAAAAAGGACAATATTTGAGATTTTTTTAAATAAATTTTTCTTTACCATTTGCCTATATTACTTATTCTGAACCTTCTCTGCAAATTTGGCCGGTATTTTTCAAAATAAACCTGTATAATCACTACATTTTAAAACGCACACAAGCGGTGTGGCCTTGCTGTTCATTTTAAGTAGTTCAACTTAACAAAATTATATTAGGTACATGGTGTGCAGATTTAATTATCTTTAACAGATATCTCAGCCTCCAATCGTTTCTTCATCGATTCTGGCATCTCAGCTGGAGGTGGTCGTGGTGTTCTCAATATTACCTGAATAAAAGATAAAAAAGTAATAGTATAAGTCTCACTCTGTTCTCATTTTGAGAGGGTGAGCCTAGAAGACTGCCACTCTGCATGTGTGCACCTTCATTTTCGCGATTATATAGTATGCCCCGCATAGAACTTGACGGTATTTGAGTTGTCAGAGTTATCGTTGCAGTTGAAATCGGCCAGGAAAAGAGTGATCTCACTGCATATAACATAACATCAGCCAACAAACAATCCATTAGTGTACACAAATATTTTCCTCGATTAAAAAATAGTAATTAAAAAATGTTTTAATTATCATACCTTTACTCCATCGAAGATGAACCACTGAAGCGCTGTAAGTGTACCAATCATAACAATCCTTGTTCCGAGTCCTTTCCAAACGCCCGCCCAACCCAGTTTGCTTACAATTGATCCTACCGTTGCAGACTTGTCCTGCAATAATACAAATAAAGACTACAATTACAATGGATTATAATACACAAATACTATTTTACCTCTTAAAAACAAGTGCTTCACTACAATCTAGTGGTAAGTGGTGATGAAGCCATAGGTAGATGATAAATAGCGCTTTCTTAAATGTAACAAAAGCTTATTCACTCTTTATCTTGAAGACACCTACTGTAATGGGATGGAAACAAACTCAAATAATTCCACTCCATCGCTGTACGCATCACTAAAGACTAAGAAAACCATTTAATTCAAATACGTAGTGGGATATTGACAATGGATGTCCTATAGAGGAAAGGAGAAGGAGGTTTAAATCCTGTAATTCCTGCGCATGTTCTCTAGAATGTATTTTATGTGTGCCTGTGCATAAGACTCAAGATTTGCAAGGACAGCTAGTTTTCACCGCCCAATGTTAAGATTCTCAAGAAGAAATCTCAACCACTAACAACTGAAGGCAATCGGTGTACTTCAAAGATAAATTCAGAAAAGTAGGAGCGAGAGCTAGCGGGCTTCTTTTTGCGGTGAAGAGACACGCTTTTGTTTTGGAAGCAATGAAAAAATACAATGGTAAGTAGTGTAGCTTATGAATAACTTATCCAAAACCCTGTCGAAACTAAGTTAAGTACTTATATGTTACAAAAGAGACAGAGAGAGAAGAAATAATTATGACGTTCTCACTGATTTCGATGACGGGACACCATAGACTCTAATTACAAACTGCTGTGGAGATACCTATTAATTAATGCCACAGGTGTAATCGCTATGACAGCATTTTGCAACCAAAAGAACCAAGGTAGAATGCCTCACAGCCGGCCTGGTATCAATTTTATATTTATGAAAAATTACATTCTACACCTACCTACTCCAAAACTAAGAGTTTTCTCTCTTGTATCGAGGAGGCGTTTTACATACATGAACTGCACAATAGCTAACGTTGCGAGACCACCCGATTTTTAGCTTGAAATTAGAGGTGAGGGGAGATACAGTCACGCTTTTTAAGGATCTCTCGCCGGTGCGGTAGCAGCGCAGGCAACTCAACTGACCCTCGCCTAGGTATACTTAAAATAATTAATTTTCTTCAATGAATTTTATAGGTATTTTCATTTCAATTATACTTATAAAAAGTACTTTGTATTTTTATCGTTTCCCGCTTTCATTGAATAAATTCCGTGTTTTTACTTAAAAGGTTACAAGTTCCCGGTTTACCTGAAAAAATCTTGTAACATTGGTATATATTCAGAACCCGAACGATATTTGTAAGCCACACAAACACTTGTTCCGTGCAGCCAGTCCTGGCACGGTACCACTTAGTGAAGTCAATAATATTTGATGAAATTTGACCTATACCTGGTTTAGTTTAGACACAACGGTGTCAGCTGGGTGTGAAACAATTGCGCATAAGACTCCGGCAACGCAGCCCGCTGCGAATGTCACCACCAGCTGCTCGCCCTTCGAGCACTGGTCACGCGGTTTTGGCACTACGTACTAATAAAAAGGAATTTATAAAAATATTAGGTCATAGTTTTTTTATTCTAGTAAATATAAGTATGACTTGTGTACTTGTGTTATAGTATGATTCACCATTCACTGACTACGTTGGTCAGGTCTGACTTGTAATACTAAATCATCATCAAGTTTTCAGTTTTTACGTGGTAGAGCCATGCTGCAGCTATATTAGTAGTATAGTTGTAGCACGAATGGGTCGGCTCGACCGGGGAAGGACCACGCTCTCACAGAAAACCAGCGTAAAATACCAGCGTATGGTGAGTGTAGAGAACCGGAGACCCTTTTTACTGGCAAAGAGGCATTTCATCTTAGTCCTCACGGGTAACAACGCATCTGCATCTTGAGTTTTTATTGAGGATGGATGTAGATGTCTATGGGTCATAGTAAGCACTTACCATCAGGTGGACTGTGTACTCGTTTGTCACCCCATCCTATAAAAAAAAATCAAACCGTGACAACCTATTGCTAGACAACATGTGAATCAGGGCTCGGTCTTACCCTAAAGCCCAGAATAACGTGATGATTATATTTTCTATGGTTCATTCGTTCATTCATACGTGGTAGAGCGACGCTGAAGCTAAATTATGGTTGTTGCGCGTATGAGTCAGTTCCATCTGGAAGGGCGACGCTCTCACAGAATACCAGCGTTAAATAGCAGCTCTACGCTGCTGTGTTTCTTATAGTGAGAGTAGAAAACCTGAGACCCTTTTTAGATACTGGAAACGAGGCATTCCATCTGAATCCTCACGGGTAGCAACCCATCTGCATTTTGATTCGTCATCGAGGATAGATGTAGATGTCTATGGGCCACAGCAACCACTTACCATCAGGTGGACTGTGTGCTCGTTTGTCACCCTTATCCTATAAAACATATATTAAAATTTTAAAAGATAATCTATAAAACAAGTGCTAAATAAGCACAACAAAGCAAACGAATTAGATTATTTACGAACGACAATCAGATGAAAAACTTAATTTCTTGATTCACACTGACCTTATAAAACATTTCGAGCGTTCTTTCAAAACAGGCGAACTTGATCATGGTGTATGGAATTTGGCGACCCCATAACGGCACGAGACCTTTGTAAAAGGTACCGTAACCTTCATTTTGTACCATTTTTGGCCATGCCTCGCGCAACGTATTTGCAAATCCAGGCATGGTTTGGATGCGCACCTGTGAATAAGTATAATTTAAAAGGAAATAAAAATTATAAACAAAATTCGTAAACATACATTAACAGATTTAAATATTTATAAGCAGAAATTAATAGTTATAGCTATATGCTATAAGATATAATATGGCAATTCTTTTACGTGGTAGATACATGCTGCAGCTATATTAGTACTTGTTGTAGTTGCAGCACGAATGAGTCGTTTCGACCGGCGAAGGACCACGCTCTCACACAATACCAGCGTAAAATACGAGTAGCAGCATATCGCTGCTATGTTTCGTATGGTGAGTGTAGAGAACCGGAGACCCTTTTTACTGGAAACGAGGCATTCGATCTTAGTCCTCACGGGTGACAACGCATCTGCATTTTGATTCATTATCGAAGATAGATGTAGACGTCTATGGGCCACAGCAACCACTTACCATCAGGTGGACGTTTGTCACTCTTATTTTATAAAAAAAAATAGTTTCTTATAGGAGCTGTACTACAATTTGAACAATAATTATCGTTTAAAATTCGGTGTGCAAAAAAAACGTCTACTATTACTTTATCTTCACGTAAAAGTTCACGTGGTCCTCTCCCGTGTGGACAGGATTTGCCATATTAGCCGCACTTTGCAGATTAATTGACGATCACAGTACCAGACGTTTAGCACCTTTTACGCTGCTCCCCGTCGCGAGTTACGCCAGGCGTAAAATGCCCTGCCCGAGAGCATAGGCTACGGTTTCCATCTATTTTACACGAAATGCCTTGTGCCAATAACAGTGACAGTGAGTGAGTGCGATTTAGAAGAAGTTTTCTTCCTCGCACAACTTCCTTGTGGAATCGATTACCGCCACCGATTTTTCCGGAACGATACAACTTAGCGACCTTCAAGAAAAGAGCCTACTCCTTTTCAAAAGGCCGGCAACGCATCTGCAATCCCCCTGGTGTTGCAGTTGTTCATGGGCGTCGGTAGTCACTTACCATCAGGTGAGCCGCATGCTCGTTTGCGCCCTCTCCTTTAAAAAAAAAGTGATAATATGTCTTACCTTCACAGCCTCGAAGGGTGAGAGAGCGATGTCTGCAAACACCTCTGCGGATGCTGAAGCAGCCAAGTACACGAAAGTGCGATAAACATACGCTGTCTCCTCATCTAGGACATTTGAGTAGCCCACTTTGAACACCTCGTACAGACCGAATTTGAACATGCCCTAACAACAACATTGAAAACGTTAATATTTTGAGCAATAACATGCATAAGTATAATATTTGCAGACAACAAATTATCTTATTTTTAATCCCCGACGAAAAAGGGTGGTGTTATATGTTTAACGTGTGTATCTTTATTGTATCTAGTCTGTGGCATCGTAGATTTTTTTTATTTTTTGCTTGTAAGGTGACTTGATCTAGAGTGTTCTTAGCTATGATTCAAAAAAATCTTTTCAGCCGTTTGAAGATCATAAGCTCTTTTTGTTTCGGAGGTTTTTAAAATTTTCAATTTATGCGCAAAGCTATTTGCGCCATGTTCCCTTTTTACACGACTGCCCCAGAAGAAGGGTGTAAATTTTGTATGAAAGTATGTTTACCTGTTCGTTTGTGATGTTAATTAATTAATTACAGCCTATCTAAAAGTCTACTGCTCGGCTTAGCCTAATCCTCATCCTAGATTCCCTCATATTTGCTATAGATATCAGGCTTAGCAGGCGGACTCGCAACCAGTAGTTTATTTGTAAATTATTTTGAGTTTTTTTTTTAAATAGAATAAGGGTGACAATCGAGCGAACACTTCACCTGATGATAAATGGATGCTGTGTGACCTAGAATCAAAATGCAGATGCGTTGAAACCCCTACTGAGCACTAAAATGTAATTGCCTTGTTTCCAGTAAAAAGGGTCTGCGGTTCTCTACACTAACCATACGAAACACGAGTATTAAGCCGCGTCTCCACCAAAGTTTTGTTGTCAACACAACATTTGCCAACAAAACTTGATTCCATTTTTGGCGGCAATATCAAAGGAATACGCTTGTTGCCAACATTTGTTCCCTCGGTGGAGACGCTTGTTGACAGAAACATTTGTTGGCAACACGTGTCGGCAACTGTTGTGTTGGCAACAAAACTTTGGTGGAGACGCGGCTTTAAGCTGTTATTTTACGCTGGTATCAGGACCCATCACCTGTTTTGATTCTCTCTATCTCTTACGACAACCATTGGACGAATGGGGTACCAAGTAGATTGACTACAACACTGTGTGCCACCACCTCTTCCTCTTGAAGTGCGAAGTGTCAGAATGGTTTCTGTGTCATAGTTAACACTATAATATGGTTATAATTCTAAAACCCATACTTGCAAACTAGATGCATTGCTACGAGCGTGTCATTTTATTAGTTTTTATACAGGGTTATTTTGCAATAACCGGCCAAATTTGCAGAGGTGTACACAAGAAAATACAATATACCTGTAGGGAATATCCGATAAATGTCGGAGCCCAACCCTTAGCGAGACTGCGCACGCCTTCTTCTCTTACACTCAACTTGAAACCGTACATCACATTCTTGTACTTCTTAGAGTCAACCTGCAGACGACATTTCACGAGATCCAACGGTACCACTGCCGTGTGGGTTAGGCCTAAAGATAATTTTAAAAACATTATAATACTGCAATAAAAAAGAACAGTTGTGTGCAGTTCACACGCGGTAGAAGTGAAACCTCATTCCCTCGCAGGCTAAATCCTATAGATGTATATATTTCATAAATCATAATTTTTTATTCATAAATCATTTATTTGCAAGAAATATGGTTGGTACACAAAATGTTAAAGTAAGTTATAGCACAGTACATATTTCACCCTCATTACAACAATTATTTGAATAAAATTACAATTATTAGAACTATTTGAATAACAATTTATAAGAACTATTTTAATTGCAATTATAACAATCTTTTAAATTTCAATTATTTAAATTATATGATTACAATTACATAAATTATTGAATTATTATAATAGACTAAGTTACAGGAAATAAAAAGAAAGATCTGATATCTTAGTGGGCACCAAATCGGCAAGTGCTATTATTAAAAAAATCTTTAATAGTATAGAAACTCTCCTGGATTAACCATTTTCGCAAGGCACAACAGAACCTTTTATATGGCAGGTCAGTCATTACTTTGGGCAAAGAGTTATATATTAGAGGTGCCAAATAATCACAGTTTTTTTAAACAGTTCTAGCTTAGGCACAGGCATTTTTAAGGGCACGTGGTTAATTTTTCGTTTAAATGTATTGTCGTAAGCGGTGAAGAGATGACTGTGGTATTTAACAAATTTAGCTGTTTCGTAGATGTATATGCAGGGAACAGTTAATAGATTATTTGATTTAAAGGTCGGTTTACATGATTCCGACCAATCCATGCCGTACAGTGTCCTAATGCATTATTTCTGTGCTATAAACACCCTCGTGATGTCGCAGGAATTTCCCCAGACAACTATGCCATATCGTATAATTGAGCGTGATATACCATTATTAATATGTTCTTTCCATGAAAGATGTGTATCGAGAATAATGCCTAAGAATTTTGCGGTGTTTATTTGTTGTATAACTGAATTGTTGTAAGTAATATTTAATTCCATGTTTTAACTCTTATAAGTTTGGAAGTTAATTATTTTCGTTTTATCAATGTTTATTTATAATTTCTTTATGTTTAACCATTGGATAACATCTTCTAACGTTTTATATATTTCCGTCTCATAGGTATCTATATTTTTACAGCCCATAATGATAGTCGTGTCGTCTGCAAACAAGACACAATCATGTGTGAGTGCACGTGGAAGGTCATTGACGTAAATACCTTGTGGCACCCCGGTACAATTAATCCTTTATTGCGAGTCAAACTTAACTATATTATTTGTTTCAGTATCAAATTTTGTAATCCTAGCGAATTGTTTCCTGTTTTTTAAATATGACTGAAACCATAACAATGAAGATCCCCTTATTCCACATTTCTCAAGTTTCGAGATGAGTATTTAATGATCAACAAAATCGAATGCTTTGTTGAGGTCTAAAAGTAGAGCTAATGTTGGGATTTTATGGTTGATATTATTAACGATGCTGTTTATTAGGGTGAAGGTAGTTAATTGCGTTGATCGGTATTTCCTGAAACCAAATTGTTCCGGTGCCAAAATGTCATATTTATCTAGTTTTTTCAAAGATTTTAGATAGGACTGTAGGATTTTTGTTTATTTAGAGCGTCTTTTAACGACAACTTCTCTTCGCTTAGTTTTACTATTTCTAAATGTGCGCTTTCGAGTTCATTTCTAAGTAGTAATAATTCTTTCTTCAAGTCTTCTTTGTCACTATCATATCCAGTAGACAAGTCCGGTAAACTATGTCTTCTTATATGTATGACTAAGTTGGTATTGTACCGCCATCTATCGGAAGCCGTAAGATTTTTCTGGCGTTTCCCATAATCACCCCTGACGACGCCCACGGGATGAAATAATGGTGAAGGATAAAAGGATTCTCTTACTCCTTCACCACTCAGCAGTAAGTTAAATACATAATTTAACTAGAGTAAGGAACATACCAAGCTAAAGGTAACAACTAGAATGTATTATAAATAATTAAAGAAGAGTTGGTTACACTTAACTTTAAATATACTCGTACAATTCGAGTTACCACAGTTTTCTTCCGTGTTGGCACAACTCTACTATATTTTTTTCATCTTACATTAACTAAAACACAAATATTAAAACAACTCTTTTTTTCCGATTTTTTGATTCCGGTTTTACTATAGTAAATCGGTATCAAATTTTTGTGTAATACTATTAACGGTCGTTAATAGTATTACTTACACAAAAAATTTACTTATCTTACCTGTATTCAGAAAACGTAACACAAATTCTTCTAATTAAAATGTTAATTAAACTTAATGCATTCAAATAAAAATATGAGTAAGTACTGAAAATAGAAATGTTAGCTGTGTTTTAATTTAAAAAAAGAAACTTACCGCACGATAGTAAACCTCCGACACCACATAACGCAAAATATTTAGCAGAGCCAAATTCGCAAGAGTAGATCGGTGCAGCTTCAGAGGACGATGATATGGCATTCTAAAAAAAATTATAATGCAATACATTGCGTACTTTATATTAAAAAAGATATACCTTATAGGTATTTGTTATCTGTTCCGTAGCAATAACAACTACAATTACCTACTACTTATACCTATTCCTTGGTAACAATCCTGCAGAGAAACTTATTTGGATTTAAAACAAAATTAAAAAACTAGAATCTCTGTATTGAAAAAACCTTCACACTAAATATCTAATCATAAATAGTAATGTCCTCACGGCGGTCAGCATAGATTATTGGATATATACGCGGCCAGTCTCAAGGGAGACTAAGCATTTTCACAGGACAGGATTATAATTTATAATGCACGAGTGTATGCTCAAGCACAGTTGTGCTATTTCCATAGGCGCCGTGGGTACGGCTTAACGTGTTTTTAGACGCACGGGGGTAAAATACCGACAACTTCCTGACTTCGGGCTGCTGCTGAAGATTTCTCGACAGAAAAATCCAAGAAGTGATTTTGGCCCAATCCGGGATTCGAACCCTGGATGTCATGATCAGCAATAACACTTACGAACACTAGACCAACAAGGCAGTGACGGCTCCGTGCCGCAGTGGCTTAGCAATGAGTTGTTGAGCTGGGGGTCGGCGGTTCGGATATTCGAATCCGCATCCGCTAATGCGGAACATCCGCATTGATTTGGACATCTACATCTGCATCCGCATTCGTATAAATCAATCTTTGATGCAGATGACACGTTGGTGACAAGATCTAACATTTATACGTAACACAACATTTTTTTTATTTCATCGAGGTATTTTAGAAAGTATCAGTCACAACGTTCGTTTCCTCTGTTTGACTAAGTTTATTTTGTCTTCCATAAATATTTCGTATAAATTATAAATTTAAAAAAGTGAACTAAAATTTCGCCACCAGTACAAAGTAATGTCTGGACTTATTTTAAATTAGATGAAAGTGATCGGGATAAGTCCCAGTGCAAAATTTTTAAAAAATTTCTTTGAAAATTCATCATAAATTGATGCTACCAGAAGAGTTTAGTTTGTTCGAAAGCTCGAATAACGAAAAACAGTTGAAGAATAAAATAGATGATTCAGGTAAATTAGAAATCTAGTTGTAAGGGTCCAACAGACAGGGGTTAGTCAATATACCACAATGGGTTCGGGAACAACAAGGTGGACGTGACCCCCGTAAAGGATTGTCACACAAGAACGTCCGTTGCCCTTTCTAAAAAGAAAGGTTACGGGTCTCTCTGGAGTGGTCCCGGTCTGTACGCCACGTAGTGGACTGTATATTGTTCTAATTTGGAAGGTGCAGTAGGAAATGAAACAGTAATTTTATCTTCGTAATTTCCCCATAAAAGCGCAACGTTGAAACTTTTACTACTTTCCTATCGCTTCCCTATTGGCTTCTTCTTCCTCGTTTCGACTATAAAACTGATAGCTGGTTCGAACGACTTGCCAATTTTTTTGCGCCTAAAGCGATGGGCTACCCTTCGGGAAGCGGGAGAGCATACCACGTAGCCGGCTGCGTGGTTATGTGGGATTCACTATTTTTTTTAAAAAAAAGAGAACCGCGCACCGCGCGCCATTTCGATTTCGACATATCTTACATTAATTTTCATCATTGAACCCTTGTATTTTACCCATATCTTTATTTCTATAAAACATATGGTTACACAATTTTATTTATAAGAATCACACAAAAAGTCTTATTATTATAACATACATTATAACGTTATCACATAAAGACATGTTAAGATATTCCACAAAATACACATTTTTTACAGAACATTTTCAATGTTAGAGATCTTAAATATCTAACACACATGGTTAAAATAACAATCTTTATTAATAAACATGAATATCTTAACTAATACAATAGTTTAATGCATGCCGTAAGCACAAAGCGCGCAGGTATGTTCTGTTAGGGCCTAAAAATTAAGATTCCAACGTTTTGTTGCATGAAATCGTATCTAGCAATCATATTATATATATAATTGATATAAAAAGCACATTGTCAGAAAGATAAATGATAGTTGAACTTATTAACATTTTTTTTTAAATTGATTAATTGCTATTTTTGCATAAAAAAGGGGTTTTAGTGGCTTACCGTGTGGATTTATCAAGTCCGCATGGTTTCGTAAATTACACGACAACTTTTGAAAATATCAATTGTTTAAGTCAATCTATTTTGTAATCTCTTCATCTATCATGCGGGAAGTCATGGAATGTAAATGGCAATTTAATTTTGTTTTGTTTAGTTATAATTAATTTTTTTCGGCTAAAAAATAGTGAAATTTTGGGTAGTTTGTGAGCCTTGTATTAATTTATTTTAGTAAATACACCTTTTCACTCCATCATTCGTCATTCCGGCCTCGGCCGCCGTTGTGAGTGGATATTGTATCGCTTGTTTGCAGCGAAAAAGATTGCAAAAACCAAATTTTAATACATACTTGACCGAGGTAAGATATTATTATCATTTTTATAATCACAGAATTTTCTAAGAACTCCCTAAAAGCACGCAAGATTTATATGTAAATATACTTATACGTCTTGGCCTTTATAGACCTAAAAGTGTACTTCGGTATCTGCTACTGGAACTCCTCGATGAGGAGAACTAGATGTGCCGAGTTTGGCCTCGTTTTGTTAGTTATGATGTGAGACCTTACCTCTGGACTTGATTGAGTGACTTGAAAGTGTACTTTGATGACTGCTACAGGAACTCCTATGAGTTGCATTATAGGTCGTGCATTTTTGGATTTTCCAAGCTTTTTTTAAGTTGAAATTTGACATAAAATGATCGGAAAATTTGAAGTATATTATTATATAATATAGTATATAATTATTTTTTTAGTGAAAACTTCTGTGTAATTAAACTACTTTAAAAAATTACGTATAATCATGTTATACGTAATTTTTTTAATACCCTTAAGGCATGCACAATTAGATTTACCAATATCTATAATTCTAAATTTAAAGGTATTTTACACTTTAACAAGACCTTAATTTTCTTATATAAATATATTATTATTTCACTATTTTAAGCACTTTTAACACAACACTGATTTTATTACATAACGCACATAATAAACATTTATTACTTATTTCTATATACATTACTGAAATTTACACAAATTAATAAAGTTTATTTTTCATTTTTATTTGGACCCTGAATAAAACATAAATGATAAAAAACCCCAAAGGGATTTTTGGCGCAAATGCCCCTGAAATTTTTTACGAAGGTTTGAAGTTTTAGATTTTTAAGGCAATTTTTCATGATAAATCGACTAAACATCACTTTTTTACACAGGAATATTGACCCAAAAAATACTTACTACTACTTACTATTATAATATAGTGTGTTTTATTTCTGAATTGTATTGTAATTTTCTGAACTCTATCCCCAATTTTTAATGTAGATTATTAAAATAAATGTTTTTTAAGCCACAAATTTATTAAAAAAAATAATAATAAAAAAGTAGTTATTTAAAAAAAGAAACACATCCACATCCGCATCCGCATCAGCGGATGTGAGCTTCTATAAATCCGCACCCGCATCCGCGGATGTCAAAAATTCTGCATCCGCCACAACACTGATTCCAACCACAGATTCTAACTATTATATATCAAATCAAATTAGAACTTGTCGTTGGTTTGCTTTAGGAAGCATTTACGTGGCACGTGGCATGCAGAAGCAAATTGTAGGCTCTGTTTTAGTATAAATTTAAACAAAAAAGATATCTTTATTACCTGGATTGGTTGTACATCGGTGAGTGCGGGGGGTTCACACACTGCGGGAGTTAGTGGTCCGTGGAACGGAGAGATCCGCGCAAATAGAGATGCGAACATTTTATCTGTAATAATCAGAGCTTCTCTCAGTAACTTTAAACCTATAAATTAAAATAAGGATTCAGGAATTATGACTATACATCTACTGTTTTTCAGTGAATTAAGATGATATACGAGGTAAATAATTTTATAAGGTCACTAATTGACAAAATCGCCTCTTCTTAATTACAGCGAGGAAAAGGCGAAGTCATAAAAATCATTTTTAATACCTATTTTTAGAACACTTTCGTTTAAAAATAAACGTTGTATATGTTTCGATATAATAAAATAATATTTCAAACCTTATTAAAAGGATAACTGTTCACACAGAATGTAATATTGGCCCATTGGCCCACAAATATTCCAAATTGCTACACGGTAAATGTACGTATAAATAGGTATCATGAATTAGGAGCTAATTTAAGCTAACGTGAAACAAGTTAGAAGGCAATATAAGTAATAATATTTTTCAAACAAATTATACAAGTATTTTATATAGGTATGTATATAGACAACCGATGGGGATGAAAGGTTCTCGAGTGGCAGCCTCGTACCGGTAGGTGAAGTGTAGGGTGACCCCCCACGAGATGGAGTGACGACCTGATGATGTATATGGTTTATACACTTATATAAACTATATTATACTTACACGATTCTTAGATAAATGTTAACTGAACATAACTTACAGGCAATACATTACTTAAAATAAGATTTAATATATTACAAACTGAAATGGGTAACAATGGAAAGCAGAAACTCAAAATTAAAAGACAAAAATGACACTGTTTACCTTCTAGGAATAAAGTGTTCTCTAACTGATGCAGTGATAATAAATCAGCTGTGCGAAAAGACTTAATTCAATTGCTTACAACGTGTCTATATAATATGTATAGATCAAAGGCTAATTGAATTATTTAAGCGCGGTTATTGATTTTATGATAGAAAGACCTTATCCCGTAAATATGCAAATTATTGCACATAAAATGTATTCTATACACATAATGATGAAATCGTATAATCCTAAAAAAATTATCACCTTTTAAGTTATAACATTCCGTAGCTGTTGTAAGAGGCGCTGAATAATGTTATGACTTCCGATAGATGGCGTTTAAACCATATCGTTTACGTTAATACCCAGACTAGCGACAGTAAGAAGCGTAGGCTTGGGTAAAAATATCGATTTGTATTTTAGTATCAATTTCGATATATTTTAAAATGTTGTATTAATGACAAAACATGTAACAACAAAAGGAGGTACAAAGTATTCATGTGGTTGGTTGTTTTTTTTCCATCATGCAAATGATGACTATTCACATATATATATCGAAATTTATCACGCGATATATTATATCAATACTGTTTAAAAGCATCGAATTTTTTCCTTCGACATCCCTATAGCAGCGTCAATGGTATGAGGTATGAGCGCATGGGCCATTTCCAATTCGCCTGTGAAGTGCGAACCTGACAATGACAAGCGTGATGGAATCCATAACTGATTTATTTATTCATATTATATCGTCCGGAGGTTGCAATATCACAACCTCGAAAGGACGTTCAAAAATCTTTAGACTAGGTCGGCTCGACCGGGGAATATCAAGTACTGACTTCTAGAAGCTCTTATTGATTTTACAAAAGTAAAACCATAGCGCCTTTCAAATAAACACGTAGCGCCATCTAGTTCTCCTAAAACTGGATAGGTCTATGTCCATTTTCGGGTTGACGATGTCGAAAAAGAAGAAATATTTCTAAATATTTAGAAATATTTATCTATATAGAAATATTTATCAATATAGAAATATTTCCTCTTTTTCGCAAAATTTCGTAAAATATTTCCGAATTAAATATAGCCTAGATCCCTTCAGGCATTGGTCTCTGCTTGTTCGTAAAGTACCATGACTATCGGTTCAGCCATTCCGAAGACTAGCCTGGCCAGAGATACAGAATTAAAAATAGTTATTTATGTTTTAATAGCATGCAAATAACCCCCTGACTTTAACAGTAGCTGATCCAGGGTAAAGGCTCAAGCCTAAAAGCCAGATCCACCCCTAACAAATCTCAAATTACCTAAACTTAATATGATCCTACTTTTTTACACCTACACCTACAGTATAATTTTCATTACACAATCCACGTTAAGTAGATGTGTTCCAAATTTTAGATTTCTTTAGTTGTTTACGTAAAGTTTTAATCACGGTCCACGCCGTGATCTCACGTGGCCGTGGCATTCTTGAGATACGAGTACGAGTGCGTCGAACTTGTAACTTTTTAATAAATTGAGTTCGTTGATCATTCATTGGCGTGGTGTGTGGGTAGCAATGGATTGGACAACTGAACTCGGTGCACTAGATTCTCTTTGCCTGTCATACAAGGACAGTGTGAAGTTATATTTAACGTGAAAAATGAAATATAATATGACCTGTGCTTTGCTGCAGAGGCAAGATACACATGAAAAATGCTCCGTCCCAAGGAAGTTAACCAACAGAAACAGAGGGATATTCCTTTGGTACAGAGTGTGCAGAAAGATTTGTTTCATAACTTCTATAGTAACAAAAATCGGGCCTGCCTTCTAAATGTTTCGACTAAGGAATCTGATCACTGGTTACATGCTTTACCATTAAGTAATCTCGGCACTTTACTTGATTGGGTAAGCTTGCGCATAGCCGTAGGAATCTGAATAGAAGCGGCAATTTGTCAAACTCATCAGTGCCCTTGCCTCGTTGTAGCAGCGTCGACGAGTTTGGGCTACACGGACTTTCGTGAAAGAAAAGTACTAGTAGGTTATCGGTTCTTTGAACGATGTTATCCGAAGAGCTCTTGTATCTATAAATATTCGCTCGGTTTTAAGGCCTTGTGGAATAGCCGTAATAAGTGGAGACGTTGGCAAGAGTTTGACGATATAACTTTGGTACCTTGGACGAGAGGTAAGGCCCTAGTGTGGGATGCTACATGCGTGGACACCATAGATAATATACTATATAGGGTAGTGGACACTTTGGTAGCCTCCCATCTCAGGGGTAAGTATGTCGTTTAGAGCCAGTCAGAAGCAGCTGAACTAAGTAATAGTCATTCAGGGTGGAAACAGAGCCAGTTCGTTCAAGAACGGAGCTCTGGTTCTATACCGCGGAGAGTAGGAGTGATGTGAAAATTTAAGTTTTTAGTTTTACGCGTCACGCGGATTGCTCCGCAGCTGTGAATTTAAAATTTTTATACTTGGTTATTTACCTAAAATCGATCAATAATCTTATAAAGGGTTAACCCCTTAAAGTATTATTGACAGTCCTTGTAAAGTAGTTTGAAGCCTTAGTTGTTGGAAAGTTGTGGATTTGGTTATTGTACGATTCTCTGCTTCGACCTTAGAGTACAACTTGTAATAGTTTTTGTTTGCTGTTGTTACAAAGCCAGATCGAAGGCTAGTGGTTAGTACATCCACAGCTTGCGCTGAAAATCGTTTCACCCAAATTTAAAAATTCTTTTATAAATTGTTGCTTTATTCACTTGTGATGTGAAGCCCCACAGCTTCTATTCGCTCAAGCCATTGACTTATATATTAATTCATTGGCTCAAGCTAATAAAATCATACCTTCGTACGACAATGACGTCTAGCTGGATGTGGCAGTCTACAACCTGCTCAAATCATTGAAAATTCTCAAAAATTAGCGAGCATGCGGCTCAAGTGACGGTAAGTGATTACTACAGGCCATCACTTCTTACTACAATAAGAACTAGCGTTGTAACGCAACCTCACTTCCGCCTCCGCAAAATTCATAGCTTCTGCAAGAAATCGTAGTACCTACGATTTTTTGCAGAAGCTATGAATTCGTAGGTACTACCGGCTCCGTAAGGTTTTTACGAAGTTTTATGGAGGTTTGTTTACGTTTCGTCATAGAATAAATATGGTTTTGTCAGGGGTAACTGCGCGGCTGATCACTAGCGAAACGTATTAAAGTGAGTGTGGGGTGGGAAAACAGGTAATTAAATATAATTTGCCTGATTTCCCACAGGCCATAGGTAGATTATTTTCTTTAACAAATTTTTAATGATTTTTTTCTATATTCTTCCACCTATGTCACCGCTAAGATGGCCTCTGTCACATCCCTGGCTGCATCTATCTACTTACGTCGTTTGTGTAACAGTCACAGAGATAAAACGTGAGAAAAAGTGTCCGCTACATGGGAGCGTGAAACGGGGACTTGGGTCATAGCGTGGACTATCTTATCCTCCATCAACGTTCCATAGTAATTCCGTAGTCGCAGGCAGCGATACCAGATGAAAGCAGCGATATAAGAAAAAAAATAGCGGAAAATGAACAACAGATTTTTTAATATTATGTTTATTTAAATATCGATTTCCAAGTCATTGATATATTGGAATTGGATATATTGACATTGCATCAACTCTGAATTCCCGTAGTCATCATGCTACAAAGCTATGGAGTCTCCATATACAAAGCTGACATTATGTATAATATTAGCTGCGTTGTGACCTCGCGCTAGTATCTGTAGAAAATGTCCTATGAGTCCATCTGGACAGGTAGTATTTTTACCAAAAAACGGCAGTGCATTCGCTGCTGTTTTGCGGCTATGGACAGCAATCAATATTTTTAATAGTTGTGTAATGTATTCAATAGTGACGATGTCATGCACCTGTAGCTTTCTTCGTGTAAAGTTGGATGCAGGTATCCATAGACTAGCCAGTTCATTCATCAGACATTAAGTACCTAGTTTATCATTGTCGCTTTAAATTATTCGGGGTTATTTTTCAAAGAGTAGACAAATTTTACAAATATACTAGGGTGGTCTGAAAAGTTTCCGACCTCAACATGAAGATGGCAGCACTCGTCAATAAAGCTATTGGATGTAGTTGTCCATCCTTTCACAGTTTACACGCCTAGGCAAGCGTCAATCATTTCGGTCAATCATGATTGATGTCTGAATGAAAGAATAATTTCGACATTACACGCTCATTCTGACTGGTCGTCAATCAAACCCAAAATTTCAGAGGGAAAAGGAAAGGATGGATAA